CTAAAATACTCCATTGCTATATTAGTACCGTATGATATCAAAACGAGGTAGACAAGCATATGAAACAACAAGCTTATTTTCTTGGAGAAGGTTTCTTTTGGTCAGCACCATTAGTGTTTTCATTCTGGAGAAATCTAGCATGCTTACACTCTTGTGGATTTTACATTTTTAAAACAAGTGAATACATTTGGGTTAGGATACAGAGATATGGCTCAGTCCTGCAGATATTTTCAGTGTGTGTGTGTGTGTGCGTGTGCGTATACGTGTGTGGAATATTCACTGGAATACTCACATACGAGGATTGCAGCAATTTTAATGAAGGTCTTTCATAAGACTCTTCCCTGAAGAGCCAAAAACTATTCATATAACAGAAACGTGCAAAGATAAAATATCTTAGCTTAGGATTAATAAGAATTGAATGGTATCTTGAGCAGCAAGAACTGAATTAAAATAGTGTTATGTCAGTTCTGCTATCATTTGTCTCTTCAGCTTATCAAACCTAATATAGAGGCAAGTAGAATTATGGAATTATGCAATGAATGTACTTTCTCACCATCTTCTGTTTCAGAATCTGAATATTTTGAAGATTTAAGTATGTTAGACCGACTTCTTTAGGTTTCAGTTTTCTAAGCTATTTGTGATTGCAGGTTTAATAAAATGACACCAGGGCATTTTATTTTTAAAGCTATAGAACAACACACAGAAAATCACCCCGCTAAGTTACATTTTCTACTGAGTTCAGATTTCTAGTTTTTGCTCCTGCATTAAAAAATACACAGGTGTCATAAGGCTTTGGTTTATTTCTGTTTTAATAAAAAAAAAAACCGAAGACACTGGGAACTACAGACACTTCAAAGTGTTGCCTAATTAAGAAATGTCTGAATGAGACCTCTGGTTAAATATTAAGAGGGGAAAAAAAATCACACTTTTAGGAAGAGGAACTACATTTAATTCACCAAAGAATTCTAGAATAATTACAGGAGGGAAGCAGGGCTGCATTTCACGAAGTAGCTTTTTATCTCATGCCCTTTGGCTTTTGAAAATTTAACTTGAAGTAAGTGTAATTCACTATCAACCGCAGTTCTCAGTACATAGTTTGGAAATAAACCTAACATATAAATGTACTCCTTGGAATTGAGAAGACTTCACTAGCATATTGGAGATAAAATATGTTACAGCTCTGTCTCTTGCAATGATAAAGCACCAAAAATAGGATTTATGCATATGTATTATGGCTCTTCAGTGTTTCACATACAATTTCTGAAATGATTGACAAATGTAGCACCTGCCTACCAGTCACCAACGCTACTATATCTTTTTCCAGGATTGTGCAACTGCCTTTTGGTCCTGTAAGACAATGTGGTTGCTTTAAAGACTTGCAGAAAAGAGAGACATTTGTGCCCTTGCATACTCCTGAGACACCTTTTGGAATTGAATTCAAAGCATTGCATAGCCCTATTCTGTATGGCTATGAAACCATTCATTGAGGTATGCAGATTAAAACTATTACAAAACACGCCTCAGAAACAATGGTGAATAAATTAACACGCTACTATTTTTGCAAATGGAATATAAAATCCAGGCAATGTTAGGAAGTTTATAAATTGAGTGAAAAGGATTCTCTTCTCTATATAAAGTGCTTTAGAGTCAAATTAGGCCAAATGAAATCTAAGCCACAAAATAATGGCGTAACATTTATTTTGAGTTTGCTTTGTATTCAACTTTTTGAACAGAGGCATCAGTACTCTACCATTTGGTCTCATGTCTCATGTTCTAAAGTTATTCAGCTGGGCTGGATATCTCTTCATTGAAAAGGTCCAGAAATTCAGCAATGGTTCTGTGCCTCCTGCACTATCATTATAAGAAGGAAGGATGAGTTTATTAGATAAGCTCAGGGCCTCTCTTCAAGTGGTAAATTTGCACAGGACAGAAATTAAATTCTTATTTATTTAGGTACCAGTGTTTATGCTATCCCACAAAGATTTATCTACTAGTAGAACTGCTGGTATCAGGAAATTGTTTGTGAACAACTGAAGGCTGCCTTGCCTCTTTGCTGGAATTTGTGAGAGAAGATAGGTTACACTGAAGTCAAGATCTTTGCCTGCCTACCCCTTAGTGGACCTTGCAAGTCAAGAAAGAAGCAGAGGGAGAAAAAAAACCAGTCTCTCCTTTCTACCATTCCATACCTCTGTTTGGTGAAAAACTCAGTTGAACTCATTTAACGTTAACTTATGGTAACTCAGGAACACTGAAGGAAGCCCAGTTTCCCTATAATACATGAATCTACTACTAGCATGGAGTTAAATAGAGATAAAAATGCAAATTGCAGTCTTTCTGAGGATTATCCCCAAAATACAAGTTGGTATGAACAAGCATAGCTTGCATTTTCCACCTGAAGGAAGTAATTGAGAGAAGCCTGCGGTAATCAACCAAATGTCCCGGATAAGAAAAAAACACACAAATGAATGAGATCTTTTCACTTGACGGTTCCTATCTGCAGAACATGACCAGCCACAGAGCATTCCCAAGGACATCTTCTAGAAATACACATGCATATACTTCTGAAGCACTTCGTAGCATGTTATATATAGCAGGTTACAAACAAAAGCCAACCGGGTCTCAAAACAACAAATTAAAACCTGGCCAAATTTCAGTTCTTTTTAAATATGGCATAAAAGAGGTACCTGGAATGTCATCATTGTAAGCTTCTGTGTTTGGGAATAATAAGTCAGATCCTGAATCACTGCGAAGCTTGCTTATAATTAAGGCTCTTTGATATTTGAATATGAACCTGGGACTCACCGTGAAATGGGCTTTTAAAGTTTTCTATGTGGCGAGTATGACTACTATCAAAAACTGGCATCACTGATTTCTACCAAGGCCCAAATCCAGTAGTGGGATTCAGCCGGTTCGCATCACTTTGGCAGAACCGGTAGCTAATTTTTTGTTGCCCAGGCCCAGAATCGACTTCCGGAAGAGGCATCCAAACAGAGAACTGGTTGTTCACATATTTGAATCCCACCACTGCCCAAATCCCAGCAGGGGAGTTATTGCCTAGGCCTGCTGCCTCTTCTAATGCTCTTCCTTGCACTTGCTACTGTAATTTCTAAACAAGTTGAAGTTAACATCAAGTACTTTTTCTGTTCTATAGAGAAGTGCTGTACTGTATGTTGGCTCAGAGACATAAGACAATAGAACCTTCTTTGAGCAAGGTAGGACTACTTAAGAAGGGGTGCTCCTAAACCTACCTACTAGGGCTGATAGACATTGAGTTTTGCTAGTTAAGACATGCAAAATGCTTGTAGACATGCCTAAATTTCTATATTCAATTTCTATCAATTGAATTTATTCACCATCACATGCCAGCATAGTAGCACTGACTTGTGGAAAACACATGTTGCCTGCTTCTCCATTACTTATCAAGGTCTTATGGTTGAGATCTATCTGTAGTATTTGGAACATTAACTAAAAATAAGGACTTGGGACAATTAAAATCAATCAAGAAGTCTACTGATAAAATGAAGTTAAAAGGAAGTCATTTCCATCTCTACATTTAGATTCGGACAGAGAATTATATGATATGCTCTTAAAACTATGTTTCACAAAGTCAACCTCTGCTTTCTCCCTCATGTAGTCCCACATCCACATTGTTTGTGCGTTATTCTTAGACTTCTTTCATGCGGGTGTGGAGAGAAGACTACATTGATCGGAGAGTGGTGCTGCCTCCTTGTAGCCCCCACAACATTGTGGATCTTCTAGGAAGCGCGAGAAACTGAACCAATTCATTAGGAACAGCATTTTGCAATTTCTTCCGGAATTAATAGAGAAAGCAATTTCCTGTCGGTGGGATCTCTCATCCGATTCCATCCATTGAGATTCTCCTCCTCCTGCCATGGAGCAAGGGGTCATCTTGCCTTGCTATGCTTTACTTTATTCTTCAAAGTTGTACAGAAGGAATCTTTTATTTGTCCCCTCGCTAAGGCAGTGGGTTGGATTTTTAATTATTTTTCTCCTTTCCAGAACAAAAAGAAAGTGGCACCAAGGAAAGAGGAGGTGGGGTGGGGTGGCAGCTGGATATATTTTGTACATCCTTCCACTGGTCAACTGGAAGGGGAGCACTTCTTGTCTGGCAAGATGGGGTTACAGCTCAGTAGTGGGGATGTTTGCCCGATGCTGTGAAGTTGCTGTAGAATACATGCGAGACAACGGTGGTGGCTGCATGAAAAGGCCCTTACTTCTATTTCTTCTTATTTAAAAAAATAATTCCCAGACAATTAAGTTTGTGCTACACCTAGAAGTATGCAAAAATGACAGTATTTTAAGATGAGAATTCCAAGGCACTTTTGCAGAGGATTCAGACTGTTGCTAAAGCAATAGCAATAAGACTTATATACTGCTTCACAGTGCTTCACAGCTCTGTCTAAGCGGCTTACAGAGTCAGCCTGTTGCCCCCCCCCAACAATCTGGGTCCTCGTTTTACCGACCTCGGAAGGATGGAAGGCTGATTCAACCTTGAACTGGTGAGACTCGAACTGCTGAACTGCTGGCAGTCAGCAGAATTAGCCTGCAATACTGCATTCTAACCACTGCGCCACCAGGGCTCGAAAGGCTGATTAAAGAGCTTAATCAGCCCGATGAAGACCCAAAAAAAAAAGGAAAAAAGGCTGTGTAATGGAATTTGCTTACAAAATATTCTTCGTGGGCAGAATGCAAGGTACAGCACATGCAACGGGATTAATAAAGTGTACAAACTTCACTATCAAGCAGAAAGTGCTTTTAAAAACGAACAGATTTGGGAGATGAAGCTTTCCCCACATGTCTATACTACATGGAACTCATCATTTCTTTTTCTTTTCTTTTTTTTTTTACGTGAAGATTGTTTTTTTTTTAAAAAAAAAAACCACAAGCAAACAACCGCACGCCACACCAAATATCAGGATCGTGACTTTTAAAGTATTTCGTTCCGTTCCGTTCCTAGGAATAATGTGTAACCACAATAAAATAATTATGTTATGGTCGTACCGAGCTCCAAGGGCCAGCCTTCCAGGCAGCTTCTTGGGGACAGTCCTGCACATTGCACTGCTCGCGGTCTGGTGGCTTGTCAAGGATTTCACAGCTCAGATCAGTAAATCTCTCTCCGTTGGAATGCTGGCACACGACTAGCCTCGTTCTGGTTCCTCCACCACATGACTTTGTACACTGGAAAGAAAAGGCATTACAATGATGGATACCGGCATTAGGACTACTTTATGCTTCCCTGGTCTGACTCAAAGCCAGTTTGGACATTAATTTTTCTGCCATTCAAAAGGCATATGATTCCAGGGGATGCAAGAAGGGAAAAAATAATAACTTACAACACAAAAACAGAGTGAGTTAGCAGCACTGACGGAATGTGGGGGACGTGGGATTATTGATGCTCCGCACACTAACCATTTATTTTCCCCTGGATGGTTCCAAAGGTATGACTCAGAGGTAGTCCTTGATTTATTTGCATTCATTTAATGACAGTTCAAAGTTAAAAACTGTCTGGCACTAAAAAAAACTGACTTATGACCGGTGCTTGCACTTAAAACCATTGCAGTGTCCCCATGATTACTTGATCAAAATTTGGATGCTTGGCAACTGGCATGTATTTACAATGGTTGTAGCATCCTGGTATCACATGACCACCAAACAAAGTCAATGGGGGACTTGCTTAACAGCCATGTAATTTGTTTAACAACCGTAGCACAAAAGGTTGTAAAATTGGATGTGATTCACTTGTTGACTGCAGTGATGGAAGTTCAAGACTCAATTGTGGCCATAAATTGAGGACCACCTGTACATTGAAAATTGTACTAATTGGGCCAAAAAAAATATGGAGAGAGGGAAGGGAAAGAGAGAGTAAGATTAACTTATTGGGTATGCTATTAGTTTTCCAAGCTCAAAGCCTGTGGAAAATAGAAAGAAGGCTGTGAAAACCTGATTATTTAACCAGGTCTGAATGGGACACCCCTGCTTGTGATGTTTTATGTTCATTGTTTGGATTGCCATCTTGGAATTATTTTTTGGTTATGCTCGTACTTGGTCTGATTAATTTTTTGTATTCTGTTATTTTTATATTACTCTATTCTTGTGAGTTGCATAGAGTTAGATGGAGTCAGCTGGCATCTAAACTGAATGAATGAATGAATGAATGAATGAAGCATTCAAAAATCTGGTTCCTTCTATTTTTTAAGATTAGTTCTGATCTTGAGCTCACAAACATGGTTGACAGAATGGGGAGAAGGAAATCCTGCTTCAATCTACTTCCTTAAAGATAGCCTGAATTCAAACAACTGCTACAGTGGTCTGTTAAAATAGCTTCCTGTCATATCCAGTTTTATAAACAGATATGAGAGTAAAACATGCTTTCCTGAATAAACTTTCATTAGTTAATATCATGTTTTGATTTTATTTGTTTCACTTGCTTTTATAGGCTTTCATTCTTATACTGTTTGCAATGTCTTGATTTAAAATTTATTTTCACCCCAGCAGACTTTAGTGGTCAGTGACATACTGAGATTAAATAAATACATGCATTCATATACCTTCCTTCCACTCTAACACACATGATCTTTCAGACCGTGATCATTATCCCTGGACCAAACCTTAACATTCTTGGAAAAGCCCTTTTGAAACAATGAATGAAGCTCATTTGCAAATGCAGTCAAATAGCCTGGGTAGTTATAGTACTCTATTAGTAATATATCATAGTAATAGTTATCATCTTCGAAGTGAAAGAGTTCACTAGTTTTTTTAAAGATAACAGAAAACAACTTACCTCACTCCAGCTTCCATAGGCCCACTGAGGGCAGGGTCCTGATTCACAGGATCTTAGCTCATCTGGTTTCATCCTTGCATCACAATTATCAGCAGCGTATCCATTTTCATCCTGGCATACGACAACTCGCCGTTGAAATCCACCAGCACAGGTACTTGAGCACTATAAAAATGTAATGGTCATAGGCTTAGGCTGCTTACTATAGGTTGCTGTTTCTGTTTCATCCTTGCTACAAATCCAGATCTCTGAAGTGTATAAAAGCTTTTGTACCTTTTTGCTACTAGCAGCAGTGATAATATAAATGTTAGTGGTAACAGTAATAAACATGTTAAAAGATACATCTACAACGGGCAGGTAAAATCTTTCTTTTCTGATAGGGAAATAACTACTCCCTCAGATTTTGTGGAATGTTCCCTTGCAGGTCTGTCACCTTTCTGAACTAAATGTTCACTATTTGCAATCTCCTCCAGGCTTCATTCAGAAAGTCAAATCAGTTCACCTTCTGACTAACTCATAGACCTATGAATCTATGTCAGTGGTTTTTCAAACTTGGCAACTTTAAGACATGTGGCTGAGGAATTCTGGGAGTTGAAGTCCACACCTCTTAAAGTTGTCAGGTTTGAAAAACACTAATCTAACTCATGCAACAAAAAGAATAGATACAGTATACTGAAAAGCAATACAATGCTTGCAGACTCTTGTAAAATTATGTGAATTTTCTCCTCTCTTCCTTGCAGCAATTCATATATCCTTAAAAGTCTACTTTAGAGGGCTGGCTAATCTCCTGGAACAGATTTTAAAGTATGGGAGCAACTGCAATGGGAAAGGAAGCCCTTTCCCTTCTGTCAGTAGAAAAAGCTTCCTTTAATGGCAAAACAAAACTGAATTCTACCTAATAATTAATTCATGTCATGTGTTTCTATCCTGGCCTAATCTCCCCCTTACAAGAGACAAGGCAAAGGGGTTATTGGTAAGATGCAAACTGGAGTCAGGGACTGAAGTGAAACCTGTGAGGGATGGGAGATTACTTGCACAACTATAGCTAGTTGCAAACCTTCCCTAGCCAGCCAGGTTTGATGCCAGGTATCTAAACCTTGACTACTGCAATGTGGGGCTACCCCTGAAAAGTGACTGGAATTTGCACCTGGTACAAAATGATGCTAACCAGTGTAAAGTGCAGTGAACGTGTACTGTAGCAAAAGATTGCTGCCACCTGCCAATTATCTATGGTAACAATGTAAGGATAGCGTTGCAAAACCACTTGTAAATCCTTTGAATAAGGATTTTGATTGGTATCATTTCTATTATTCCTTGTTTCACTGATTCAGAAACCATACAATACCAATCACTTTGTCTTCTCCATCTTTCCATGTCCTCGGAAACCTTGAGTTCTCGGAGGTGGGGAGGGCAAGCTTCTTAAAATCTTGAATTTTTGGAGCATGGCTAAACCAATCTAGGATAGCTGAATGCTATCTGAGGAGTGTTATATACTAGGTTATATCTAGTGTACAACCCAATTCACAAGGGAACAAAAAAACCAACAACCCCAAACCCCAGCAACTACTTACTGCTCCCCATGGTCCAGTTCGCCACTGGTTGCCTCCATGTCCATGACCTTGATTTCGATTTGGGTGCCCACCTTGATTGTTTTTTTGATGATAATCAGGGTAAGGAAAAGGATTAGCGGGCCTGTTATCCAGGCTGATCTGCTGACATGATGGCATAGAGCAGTCCTGCTCTGTTGCAAGGATATCTTCGGCATCGCACTCGTTTCTATCGATACTCTGGTCATTGTAATCTACGCAGAGTATTTGCCTGGTCACCTTACCTTGCCCACAAGTTACAGAGCACTACATTAATAAGGAGAGAAGAGAGAGAATAGCTGGCCATAGCCATAAGATAGATTTTGAGAAATGCAAAGAAAACAAACCAAGCCCAAACAAACCCTCAGGCCTATAAACCTATTTTAAGCACTAGAAGTTTCAATAAAGTGGATTCAACAGATCTCATTGTTTTATATCAGGGGCCTTCAAACTTGGCCCTTTTATGACTTGTGGACGTCAACACCCAGAATTCCTCAGCCAGGCACGCTGGCTGAGGAATTCTGGGAGTTGAAGTCCACAAGTCGTAAAAGGGCCAAGTTTGAAGACTCCTGTTTTATTGCTTTAGCACAGGGGTGTCAAACTCAATTTCATTGAGGGCTGCATCAGCATTGCGGTTGCCCTCGGGGGTATGTGGCCTATTGGGTGGGTGTGGACAGAGTGGGTGTGGCCTATTGGGTGGGCATGGCCAGCTCTACATCGTTCGCGTCAAGGGTGCCTGTGGGGGCCTGGGCAGGAGTGGGACAGATCTGAGAGTCTCTGGCAGAAGGGGGTGGGGCCGGGGCAAGTGCCAAGGCATGGTCCATTGGAGGAGCCTCACTGCCTGCTGAAACCCCTCCGCCAGAGCCCATCAAGCTTGATATGTGAAGTAGGCGAGGGCCATTTGCTGGCCACTTCCAGGCGATGGTGCATTTCTTCATTCCTCACAAAGGGTGACACCTCCCCAGCATGCACCCAGGGGGTGGGGCCGACGCGGCAGGGGCTGGTTCCTCGCTGTTTCCAGAGCTAACACTGAATGCGTTTCAGCATAGATGGCCACCACAAAATTGTACATTGGCTCCCGGCCAGCCTGGGCCAGGGCCATGGCAGTGGGGGCCGTTCCCTCACTGTTTCCAGGATGGCTTCGCGGGCCACTTGAAACCACTTCGCGGGCTACATCTGGCCCCTGGGCCTTGTGTTTGACATGTCTGCTTTAGCAGCTTACAAATCTAACTTATATCAAGTCAGAATACCTGTACTTAGCTCTTTGGGTATAGGTATTTGCCATCATTGAGTACCTGGTCCTTTTAACCAGAGATGGGTGACAGGTATGCACTAGTTCCTGATCCACTATGTATTAACCTGATCATTGGTAAAACTATCTTGGCTATGTTTCAACAAGGGTCCTTGCTAGATTCTGAAAGAAGAGCTGCCATGATGACCAACAACGATGCGTGTTTTGTCTTCCACCTAAGAGGAAAACCACATCTTCTCCTCTTAATGGTGAATTATGCACGTTCATAAGAGGATCGGTGGGCAGATATTTGGCATATTTAAACAAGGAAGTTGCTTACTGAGCTCCATTCCAAGGCTTTCCACCGGCCGCAAGATATTACAAGACACGCTTCTGTTGCTGACGGTTTTGGTAGATGGAAACAGGTGGCTTCATCAGCCACAGAGCCCTGATCATCACGACAGCTGACATACCTCATCCTGGTGCCTTTCCCACAGGTAGCAGAACACTAGAGAAGATGGACAAGAATGCCTATGAAGCAAATTCCCGTGACAAGTGTACCATAATCTTTACATAGATAGGGTTAATTATCAAGGGAAAAAATAAAAGTATAGACTAAATTGGTTAGTTTTAACATACAGAAGTCCAGGATCCAAATCTCCACTGGGTTCTGTGACTGTTTGGCTTGATTTCTGGGCTGCTAGGATGAAGACGACATGGTACTGTCTCACAGTCCTGTTTCACAAAAAAGAACATTAAAAAATAAATACAGTATCAGACAACTGATACCACAAATATTTCATTGCAAGTTAGGCAACCTTGGCTCTTTTATGACTCGTGGACTTCAACTCCCAGAATTCCTGAGCCAGCACGAGTCATAAAAGAGCCAAGGTTGCCTATCCCTGGATTATACTATTGTAATAATAAAAGATTAAAATTATTAGATTCCATCTATGGCCAGACACAAATGTAACTGACTCATCTTCTATTAAAAGTGGATATATCCAGTGTATCTGGCAAATCATAAAATATACACATATATTATATATGCTCTCTGAGCTTGCTTGTTTTCTTGCAGACGTTTCATTACCTTAACTAGGTAACATCATCATTGCTAGTCTTGGTGATGTTACCTTGCACTGATGATGTTACCTAGTTAGGGTAATAAAACATCTGCAAGAAAACAACTAAGCTCAGAGAGCACCAAGGACCCCTCATAATATATGCATATATATATATATGTAGGAGATGACCAGGCTGAGCCCAAGGGAGGGGTCAAGCGCATCATCAGCCTCAAGTCCCTTCACACCCACAAGCGATCTAAGTCCAGCCCACCTTGAATTGGCTCTTATCTACCGCCAATTTAATAATAATAATAATAATAATAATAATAATAATAATAATAATAATAATAATAATAATAATAATAATAATAATAAAGTTGGAAGGGACCTTGGAGGTCATCTAGTCCAACCCCCTGCTTAGGCAGGAAACCCTATACCATTTCGGACAAATGGCTGTCCAGTCTCTTCTTAAAAACTTCCACTGTTGGAGCATTCACCACTTCTGGAGGCAGGTTGCTCCACTGGTTAATTGTTCTAACTGTCAGGAAGTTTCTCCTTAGTTCTAGGTTGCTACTCTATCGTCACACCACACCTACCTGTGCATCTGTTGGCTTGGTTGCAGCATTGCATTCATTATCATCTACTACAGAAATGTAGGCACCAACAACACATTTCACTGCCCTCATCTGGTAGCCTTGCCCACAGGTTACTGTGCACTAGAGGAAAAAAAAAATCCACAGATTTTAAAAAGGTCTGAATATATCAATTCTGCAAATAAACACATATTGATTCACATTAGCTTAACATACTGAGCCTTGGTAAGAGTACAGAAAGCCCAACTTTCCAAATGAGAAAGGCTTTCCTATACCCTTCTAATTGCACTAACGCAGGGGTCTTCAAACTTGGCCCTTTTATTCCACGCTGGCTGAGGAATTCTGGGAGTTGAAGTCCACAAGTCATAAAAGGGCCAAGTTTGAAGACCCTTGCACTAAGGCCTTGCCTGATTCACAACACTTTAAAGGGAAGGGAGAGTCTAGATGGGAGCTTTCTGTATTTTTCTATTTCTTCCTTGTTTAACATTTTTTAAAAAATAGAATGTGTAACATGGAATAGCCGCACAATGCTTTTGGATTAATAGTGCTAGGAAATCTGTCTGGAAGCAACCATATAATATCAAATAAGTCCCAGACCACAATATACATGGATGATTTCAGTAATTAAATTCCTCAAATGTACAATTTACATCTACAAGTACAGATTCCATTCCATTCCATTCTAATGCAAGGAAGAGCCAGTTTGGTGTAGTGGTTAAGGCACCTGGCTAGAAACTAGGAGACTGTGAGTTCCAGTCCTGCCTGAGACACAAAGCCAGCTAGGTGACATTAGATCAGTCTCCCTCTCCCTTAGCTGTAGGAAGAAGGCAACTGCAAGCCACTTTTGAAATCTCGCCAAAACTGTAGGGATTTGTCCAAGGGCTCAAAACTGACCCAAAGATGCCACCCCTGCCTCCCTGAATGGAGAGAAACTTACAATAAACAAAAGTTCTTTCTACTGTTTCAGTTCCTTCTGCTTCAAATTAGATCGAACAGTTAAAATATATTCCTTTTACTAGAACCCCAAATTCTTCATTTATTTCCTTCAAATAAACGTCTGCAGGGTTAAGTGATATATGGATTAGATCAGTGGTGGCGAACCTATGGCACGGGTGCCAGAGGTGGCACTCGGAGCCCTCTCTGTGGGCACACATGCCGTTGCCTCAGCCTTGCCTCCGCCCGTGACCCCCTCACCAGCAGCCTCCCTGGAGGAGAGTCGCCCCTGAGCGTGGTCCACACGGAGCAGCGCAGCCAAGGACATGGCAGCCAGGCAGCGTAGACAAGACTCTGCCCTCATGCCCCAACACGCACAGTTGATGCTGCGGGGCGCGGGCAGAGGGCGTGGCCGCTATGGCACTGCTGGGCTGCCTGGGCGATCTGTGGTGGGCCCTGGAGGCGGTGAGTGGCTCTGTGGGCAGGCAGGGTGGGGCGGAGCGGGGGCAGGGCAGGGGGTGGGGCAGGGGATGGAGCAGGGGTGGGCCAGCTTTGGGGCACTCGGTCTCTAAAAGGTTCATCATCACTGGATTAAAATGTTCTCCCTTCTCTATACTTGTTTTCATTGGGTTATGTGCCTTGAAGACCACACACTACATACTTTGCAGGTTCATTCCATTTTCCAGATTAGAGGATAGTTAAGTGTCAGGGTTTAAGAGGACTTCTGACTGATGCAGAGCTTGAGACAGATAGCTTTTGACATTTCGTCACCAAATGTGAAGTTAGAGAAAATGAGGTGGAGAATTCTTTGACTTTATCCAGGGAGGAAGAAATTTTCCAACCATTTCCCAAGGGTAAGACTTCCATTTAGCAAGGACATATCAAAAAACATCATCAGATGAAGTCTCTTATTCTACTTTCTCAAGGGATTCCACTGAACTGTAGAAAGTAAAGGAGACTGTAACTTCTGGAAATAGCATAATCAGTGTCCCATCTTTCATTGTATATGAACCCCTTGCAACTTGTAAACCAACTTCCCAACGAAGATGTGACAACACTATATTCTGCTGCCAAGAATGTCAAAGAAATTTTCTGCTTTAGACATTCTTTCAAAATAAAAAAAAAGTTTCACATAAAACTGAATGAGAACTGTCAGAAAAAAAAATCAACAGGCTTTTTCTGGTACTCGTCTGTGAACTGCAACAACAATTCATTCAATTTTTATACTGCTGCAATTGAAAGTCATAGCTATAAACAGCCTGGACTGTTAGAATTGGGCTCAGGAATCTGTAATCTGACTCAGTATAAATTCCTTTTTACTTTTTTTTTTTTAAAAAAAAAATCAGGGCATGGAAGTAGATTACAGTTAAGAATTGTACCACGAGCATCCTCTAATTCCTGTGAGGACCAAGTTAGTCATGGTTGCTTAAAGAGATGGCTTACTACTTCACCAATAGCATGAATCTGGCTTTCTCCTTGCAAGACAGTTACACATTGGGTACAATTATGGTCCAGGGGTAGTCAACCTTGGCTCTTTTATGACTCGCGGACTTCAACTCCCAGAATTCCTGAGCCAGCATGGCTGGCTCAGGAATTCTGGGAGTTGAAGTCCGTGAGTCATAAAAGAGCCAAGGTTGACTACCCCTGAGTTATTAGAATACTGCGTTAAGGCTCAGAAGATTTTTAAGTTGCCTTACCTTTCCTACATGGAAATTATCAAAATAAAGTTACAAAGGGTAGGAGTCACATACAACACTTGAAGGAAAGGTGGCTTATAAATAAAAAATATAAATAAATATTCAGGCAACTTGCATATATGTTTTTTCATTTCCTATTGTTCTAGGGAGCTATCAATATCCCAACTGATTGCCTCAACATCACCACCACCACCATCATCATCATCACTGTTGTTATTTCATTAATACAATACTTTGCTTTGTCTCTTGCTTGGTATCCTTTAGTTGTAGAACGAAACTTTTTTGTTGTTGTTGCAGAGTGATTTACATATTTTGGAAACAAACTAACGGAAAGGAACAAATGGTTTCAGGTACCTGGCCCCATGATCCTACTTGCCATGCTGCACATTCTTGCTGCTGGCAATCTTGCATGGAATCTGGTTTGGCCTGAAGATCACAAAGCCTGTCATTGATCCGATCTTCTCCATATTGGCACCAGATCTGCCGATGCTTGTGCCCTTTTCCACAGGTTACCAAACACTGAAAGAAGAACATATCTACCTTAAACTGGCTTCACTCAGTCAATGCCTTACCTTCTGAAAAAAGGTTAATAAAGTGATACAAGAGTTTAAGGAAGGGTACAAGCTTGGGCACATCAAGGCTAAAATGAGCTCTTCTAACTAAAGACATATGGTTCAAAGTAAATCTTAGCAACTTAACAGGACAGGTAAGTTCTACACAGCCCCACAGGATCCATAAAGCAAAAGTTAAAAATCTTCTCTTTTATCTGTTTTATTATCTGATGCTAAATGAACTCCGAGACCCACTTTTCAAGCTAAAAGGAGGCCTGCAGTAGCTTGTCTAATTCATCATGCTAATGGCAGAGGAAGATATGAACAGATCCTAACCTAGGGGTGGGGAACCTTGGCCCTTTTATGGCTTGAGGACTTCAACTCCCAGAATTCCTGAGCCAGCCATGCTGGCTCAGGAATTCTGGGAGTTGAAGTCCACAAGCCATAAAAGAGCCAAGGTGCCCCACCCTTGTCCTAACTGTGCATTAAGGAATGGAGATGTGAAGAAGTTTATCGGATCTGAATAACCATTTTGAGTGCAATTTCGATGTGATTTAAATTACAGTATTAATGCAACGTAACACTCTTACTTCTGACCAATCTCCTGTTTTCCAGTGCGGGCATGGGAGTTCGTTGCACCGCTGTGCGGTCACTTTTTCCTGCTGAATGCATTTACTGTCCTCCAAAACATCGTTGAATGTGTTCATGCAGACAGCTCGACGCCTCTTTGTGCCACCACCACAGCTCTTAGAGCACTTCAAGGAATAAAAGCAAAATCAGTACTCAAAAGTCAGGGACGACTTACAAGGCCAGCTGAAAATGCCCACTCGTCCATATTCCAGATCGGCCTATGACTGAGTTTTAAGTCTGTGTGTTTGTCAAAGAGTTCTTTACAAAAACAGCTAGGAATTTCTCCTTAGGAAATTCCAGCTATAAAGTACATGCTAATCATTGCTATCCTGGCTCTCTTGACAGTCTATAAACTGGCAAAATTGTGCTGTATCTAGCTAACAATTGCTAGTACGTGCATTTAGCACATCCCAATAGCACTAAAAATGACTACTTTAAAAAAAAAATAGGGAAATCCTTGAGTCACTATTGTTTTTATAGGCTGATATCCCATACTGGCCTAGGGTAATTTTTAGGGGGTTTTTAATTCTAATTATATTTTAAAATTCGACAAATATTTAAATATTCCTTTTAATTAATTTTAAATTTGTATTGTTTTGTATGTATTTTAAATAGATTGTCAGCCGCCCTGAGTCCTACGGGAGAAGGGCGGGATATAAATCCAAAAATAAATAAAATAAAATAAAAATACAAAGAATTGCTGTCCCATCATGGCAACTGTTTGGGTGATACCTTTCATTGCTAAGCCCCTCATCAGCTAACTGGCTTTTAGGGTTAGAATTGCTATCTGAAATGAGAGGATAGGACAACATCTTTTTTCAGGGAAGGTTGCTGAAAAAGTGATTGGCTTACAGCTCCATGGGTCCCTGGGAAAAGCAGATTATCTAGCCCTCTTTCAGTCAGGATTCAGGCCTACTTAAAGCACTGAGGCAGCATTGATTGTGTTATTGTGTTATTAGAGTTATTGTTTATCCTTGGATGCTGGTGGTTTATGTGTGGTAGATTTAATCTTGAAAATCACTGAGATTCACTTATGCAAGTTAGGTGGCTATATAAATCATATACAGTATACAAACAAATAATGTAAAATACAACGTAAAATATGAGCAACCAGACAGCTGAAAGAATAAAAATTCCAGTTGTTAGGGAAGATAATTCAGTAGCTTAAGTCACTTCTAGTTTAAATATTAGATTGAATTGTATTTCTTTATGTAATATGAATGCTTTTGTACTAATTTTTATTTTCTTTTTATTTTTTTGCATATTAAAGCAACCTCCTCCCCTTCTAATACTTTTCCCATTGTTTTTTTTAAATTAGATCAATTTATAGTGGTTACTGAATTGAGAGATTGGTTATGCAGCATGTAGATTACTTAATGAAAAATTTAAGTTGTTTATACCAGGGGTTCCCAACCCCTGGTCTGTGGACCGCCACCGGGCCACAGCATGCCAGAAACCAGTCCATGCAAAAAAGCAAAGCACCATCCATGGGATGCAGGTAGTACATGAAACCACGCCCCTTCTGGTCCGCAGAAAAACCTGTCTCCATGGAATCGGTCCCTGGTGCCCAAAAAGTTGGGGACCTCTGGTTTATACCACAAATATAGTTCTAATCATTTTGACTTTCTTTCGTATCATTCTTCTCTCCCACCCAGCGTGCCCTTATGCTTTTATCCCATAAAGGACCAACTTACTTCAGTCCAGGCTGAATAGCGCCATCCTCCAGTGTTACAGTCTCCTGAACATTTTTCCCTAGAGTTTGGCTTGGGTATCCCACTACAGTATCGGTCATCATACTTTTCAATTTTGCCTTCAAGCTTGCTGTACTTGGCACAGGACATTTCCAGAGTTTTATAGCCCATTCCACACTGCACAGAGCATTCACTTTTTCTGACAATATGCCACCTACATACAATTGAGAGCATGTATTAGCAAAGGCAATCACTGCAAGAGAAAGCTCTTTAAATGGTCAAAAATGTGTCTGTGACAAAAAGCAGAAACATAAACAGGGGAAGTATGTAACAAAATTGTAAGCATGCTTCATTTTTTTCATTTTCTCCAAAGAAATTGTATTTAAAAATTTAGATGCAATTTCCTTTATTGTTCTTCACCTGTAGACAGCAATTTTGCCAAACTAAACCAAACTATTTGCACCATTAAACATGTACTCTGAGAACTGCTAGGGAGGAGCCATCTTAACTGTCTCCCACACAGCTACTAGCATTGCCATTAACACAATATCAGTATAATGGTGCTATGAATGTAATGAGGAAAAGAGACGTTTAAGGTTAAAAGAGACAGAGGAAATGCAAGGCGCTTTGATGGAAAGTGAGTGAAGGAGTCTCCGGCAGAACGAATCAAATTAAAAATAAAAGTAAATACATGGTTTGGGTTGAAATTGAAGTGAGAAAAATGCTGGAAAGAGAATTTTAGAGTCAGCTCTACAGGAACCATAAGGTTGAGGGATGGGCTTGAAATGAATGCTACACGTTTTAGTATCCAGTAGTAAGGACGTAGGTGTAGATGGTACAATTGCAGAGATGTTAACATGCCCGTGCTTATTGACCGGCTGTGCAACTTGTTTAAACATATGTGAAAAACTGTGTTTGTGCTTGTCTATTGGAAGAATGCTGTACAAAGATAATAATAATAATAATAATAATAATAATAATAATAATAATAATAATAATAATAATAATAATAATAATAATAATAATAATAGTAGTAAAGTTGGAAGGGACCTTGAAGGTCATCTAGTCCAACTCCCTGCTCAGGCAGGAAACCCTATAGCATTTCGGACAAATGGCTGTCCAGTCTCTTCTTAAAAACTTCCAGTGTTGGAGCATTCACAGCTTCTGGAGGCAGGTTGTTCCACTGATTAATTGTTCTCACTGTCAGGAAGTTTCTCCTTAGTTCTAGATTGCTTCTCTCCTTGATCAGTTTCCACCCGTTGCTTCTTGTCCTGCCTCCAGGCGCTTTGGAAAATAGCTTGACTCCCTCTTCTTTGTGGCAGCCCCTGAGATATTGGAACACTGCTATCATGTCCCCCCTCGTCCTTCTCTTTGTTAAACTAGACATACCCAATTCCAGCAGCCGTTCCTTATATGCTTTAGCATATAAGGAACGGCTGCAAGGTAAGACCAGACAAGGTGCACACTCAGGAGTACTAGCCTTCTTTTTATTGTAATGTTACACTAACAGAATCGTTCAGCCCTGAAAGTATTTCCCCCCCCCACTCCTTCTTCAGCCCTCCCAGGCAAATCAGACAGAAAACATGACCAGATAACTTAATTCTACTTTATCGTAAAGCCTTATTAAAAAAAAAAAATCTTGGAGGTCTGAAAGTACACATTTCCTGCTGTCACTTTTAGCAGTCTGATCAATTAGGGCCAATCCATCCTAAGTTTCTTTTTCTGACGGTTAAGCAACTGTGGGCTCCTCGCCCTTTTATTTGATGCTCCCTGGAGTACCAGAAACAATGAGAGGTGACAATGTGTAATATTTGAGAAGGGCAGTATAGCTAGAGGAAGCTGGAAATGCAATCCAGCCTGACAGCTTTGCAGCCAGAACAGTCTTGATGAGGACCAGCTGAATAAGAGCTGCTCTTGGCTTGAGAGCAGCTCATTACAGCCGCCCTTACTTTGTTGTTAAACCTAGGGAAAAAAAATATGACAACAATCTGGCCATCGCCACTTATTACTAGAAGCAACGTCTACTGCTAAAGCACCCATATGGTCAACTACTGTTGTACTGTTACTGTCTGACAGACTTTGAGTGTACTAACTCTTTGCTCTATGGACCCCAATTTTAACAGTCTTCTCTTTTGAGAAGGCAGGCAGAAACAAAGGAGCTGGTTCACATGTACTCAGAAAAGCAACCTATTTGAAAAATCACCAGATCATCCCCAAAGGAAAATTAAAAAAAAAAAAGAACCCTACAACTTTACCAATTTCAAATGCTTTTAAAAGAAAGGATCTGTCCATGATAAATTGGATAGTTTTGTGGCTGGAGTTGTGGTTGCCAAATGAATGCAGATTCCCCACCCCCTTTTTAAATAGTATTGGGAATGGAGACAGAGAAAGAGAATATGGGTGTTTATTTTATGGAGCTTACTGTTCCGAAAACAAGAACTTTCTACCGAGTTGTGATCTTCTTGGGGAGAGAGAATAGGAAAAAACCTAAAATATGGAACTCTTATTGTCCTTTCAAATAAAAAGCATCTGGTAACCTTCAGCATATTCCTCCAGCTACAGTTTTCGGAAATGTTTTTCTATTGTTTTAACAGTAAAGAGTAGAAAAATGACAACCTAAGTGACTACTTTCTGCTACCAATTAATTTTTCTATGGTGCTAAATTTAAAATGGGTTATTTTTATTTACAATCTAGATAGTAATAACAAGGTGGATGGTTAAAATAATGACCAAGTAGAAAACGGCAGCAATATCATCCCCCTAAATCCAAAGTTAAAAGACTGAGGGAAAAAAAAATTGAAAATGAGCAGAGCAGGTCCAGTCAGGTCTGACTGCTGCCAAAATTTCGTAACTATTGATGCCATCACTAAGAAGCCCAGATGTCAGGCTGGTCAGTGGCCCAAGGGATACCAACATTGGCCCTGGATCTGGCAGAAGGAGATGCTGCGGACCCCATCGGTAAAGGAATTCTGGCCTGGTAGGGTCCAGGAGAAATGCCTTTTTTTTTGCCAAGGCTCCCATCCTCTGGAACAGTGGTTCTCAACCTTTTTAATGCCGCGACCCCCAACAGGTCGTAAGTCAAGGACTAAACCGGTCGTAAGTCGAGGACTACCCAACCGGTCGTAAGTCAAGGACTTTCCCTGCCCGGGAGCGCCGCGCATGCGTGGTTCCGCCCCCTGCGCCGGCCGAGGCGTAGCTGGCAAGCGACAGAGACGGAGCAGGCCGACCACCAGCTGGCCCAGCTCAAGGGAGGTAAGGCACCCGCCGGAAAAGGGGAAAAAATGGCGGACAGCCTTGCTTGGCGACCCCCGTGAAATGGTCGATCGACCCCAAATGGGGTCGCGACCCATAGGTTGAGAACCGCTGCTCTGGAACATTGTGCCCCTTGAGGCGAGATCCACCCCCATCCTCAAGGCCTTCCAAACTCTAGATCTGCTGGGGTGTTCCACCCGGGAGGTGGTTAGTGGACTAGGAAGAAGATTTCCACCTCCACCCCAATGTATTTTAGCTTTTAACTTGTTTAATCTCTGTTTATTTTAATATTTATTCTTTTCATGTTTCTATCTCTACTTTTATGACCAGAGTTGCATGACAGTGAGATGGGGGGGGGGGAGATGTAAATTTCATAAATAAATAATTAAACAAACATGAGGGGAGGATAGCAAGGAAGACAGGAAACACTGTAAGTAAGAATTGGCATTCGGTTCTCCCACACAATGTGGATTCTTTGGCATTATGAACTTTGTGCACTCTCTTAATGCGAGATGAAAAAAAGCATAGTATTCTTAATTGTTTGATGGCAATTGTTTTGCCCGTGAGTGAGCGAGGTTCCCATTAATGCAATTTAAAAATGTGTGCACAGGGAGAATAGAAATCATGTTCAACCTATCATTAAAGTCAGGCGCAGTCTCAGCGGGACGGTCTAAGTATCAGGAAAAGGGCAGAAAAATGGTTAGTCATTTAATGGATTCTGACTATCAAAAAAAAAAAAAGGAAAATGAACTTGTGGGATTTCCTGTTACATGTGAAAAATACCTTGGCTGCTTTTTCAGTAATATGCGCTTTGATTAGGGAAGGGGAAAAAAAATGGTCTCCCCCTCCCCCACACCCCTGTTATTCTCATTAATCACTGAACAGTCCCAAATACTTCTTTTTCTGAGGGAGGGGGAGAAGCACGGAATAATAGAAAATTCTGGATGAAAGGAAATGTTTAAACGCTCACATTCCAGACCCCTTTCATTTTAAAAACTAAACCCACCTAATCCTCTCCCTATTACATGACTGAGGCAAATCCATATTGTCCACGGAGGCTCACCCACAGCTTGTGGGATATGTGTGGGCCTCGGCTGCTCCTTTGGGGGCCCTTGCATTGTTTGAGAGAGGATCGCTTCCTTTTTCTGCTGTGCAGTTTGCGGTTAGATGGGGATAAACTAATGATTGTCGAAATGGAGAAACAACCATCCGCAGAGTCACGGAGAGGGAACAGCATGAGGCTTCCCAAAGAATGAGGGGCATTCTCAAGATCATTGTTACCTTGTTGGCATTATCATCAGGGGAGTAGAAATCTAGACCACAATAGGGCAGGGGGAGCAAGGGAATGGTTAAACTTTTCTGCACTACAGTACGCTACCGAAAGAGAACAAAGGTGTTTGTACACACATGTATACAGTAAGTAAACTCAGAGCCAAAATCACTGACTTCCTAATCAAATCAACTAATCTGGAAATAGCAAGTGCTTCCTTCAAATTCACAAGTATGGCACAAATGACACCTTCACCTTCACTGTTACACACACACACACACACACCCCACTCCAGTGCCTGAAACTAGAACAGTGTTTCTCAACTTTGGTAACTTTAAGAGGGCTGGACTTCAACTCCCAGAATTCCCCAGCCACCATGCTCTAATTCCCTTTTCAGCCTGTAGGAGTTAGTAACCAGCTTCATCTCTAATAGCATCAAAATACAGTAAGTGAATACTTTAAGTATATAAAAAGAAAGCCATGACATGGCAAACCAGAAGGTTTAATGGAATTGTAGGATCTACAAATATAACTTTGTGATCAAAAGTGGAAGAGCATTTGCCAAAACAATCATGACGACCTTACTAAATTTTATTGTAATCTCAGAAAAAAGTACGATCTCCTTAGGTGCAATGCCCAGTCTTCATAACTGTGTTCTGGAGAGCCTTACATAAGGCCATTGAAAAGTGGAAAGTTTGTCACTAACTAAACTAATGATTTGTTCTGTAATTAACTGTTGTTTAATTTGCTTTTTTTTGCCACCTAACATTTTATTATGATTATTTTTTTTAAAACTGAATTTGGTTTGAATGCTTTTAGTGCCCCAATAAAATATCAACATCTATGAGATTACACAGCAATAATATACTTTCCTTTAAGTTTAGGCTGACTCCACAGGAAATGGAAGTTGTATACTATAGAACCCTGTTAATGCTCAGTGGTGACAGAACTGGATTCACAGCAACCAGCACCAGAACGCAAGACAAGAAACAACAGATGGAAACTGACCAAAGAGAGAAGCAATCTGGAATTAAGGAGAAACTTCCTGACAGTGAGGACAATTAACCAGTAGAACAGCTTGCCTCCAGAAATCTTGGATTCTCCATCACTGGAGATTTTTAAGAAGAGGCTAGACAGTCACTTGTCTGAGATGGTATAGGCCCTCCTGCTTGAGCTGGACTAGAAGACCTTCATGGTCCCTTTCAGCTCTATTCTGATTGATTGAACCCAAATGAAAGGAACATTCTACATTGTGATGTACAGATTGTCCTTTACATACAACCATAACTGGGATCAGAATTTCCATTGCTAGGCAAGCTCAGTGAGTCCTGTCTGATTTTATGACCTTTTTTTGTCACAGTTCTTAAGCAAATTACTGGAGTTGTTAAGTGAAAAACATGGTTGTTAAGCAAACATGGCTTCCTCCATTGCCTTTGATTGTCGAAGGTTGGCTAGGAAGGTCACAAATGGTGATCTCATGATCATGTGACTGTCACAAATGCCTGCTGGTTGCCAACTGCCCAAATTTTGATCATATGACTTTGGGGATACTGCTGTGGTCATAAGTGCAAGAACTGGTCCTAAGTCACTTCTTTCAGTGCTATTGTATCTTCAAATGTTTGCTAATGAATGGTTGTAAGACTTGTATAACATTTAAAATTTAAATCCATCATTCATCGTTTTAGCCATTGTCTGTCCACTGCAGGATGAAGGCCTCTTCCACATGAATCCAGTTAATACGGTCCTAAGCTTTCTTTTGCCATTTGGGCCTGCAATTTAAATTATGGAATCCAAAACAATGGAATCTATAAAACTGCCTTACCTTAATTCACAATTTAAATTACACAGCTCCGTCACTGGATCAGGTTGGGGAATTTTATCACATCTTTGGTCAGATACCATGAGCTGATCAGATTCCCGGGTGCAAATTGGTTTCCTTTTTCGTTCTCCTGAAAAGAATGAAACAAATACAATTACATAAAGGGTAAAGAACTCATTTTCCCCCATACATATATTCCAAAATAGGCCTATATTTAGATTTTTCCCATACATATATTCCAAAATAGGCCTATTATTTAGATAGGTTCTAAATATTGTTTATGCCCTTCCTAAACAATTTACATTGGCTAACTGCAAGGAACTGAAACACCAAGATATCTGAAGTTTACTTTTCAAAACCTGGCTATATTTGAGAATTGCTACTTGATGCAACTGAACTTTACCTCCCTCTCCCATGTTTAATTTCCAAAAATGTCAAATATGAGGGAATTCCTAAATCAAGCCTTTTGGAGATGCAAGGTTCAAGCACCCCCTCCAAACAATGTGTAATGAATTTGTGTACTTATGTTAAATTATAATGAGGGTTGGAGGGGCATCTACTACTGTGTGTGAGCATAACACAGAGCTTGATCCATAGACATTGACTGCAGGTATGATTATTCCATTTGCTACGTTTAAAAGAGGTTTAAATAGCTGTGTGCTCTCTTCTTTGTCCTTTGTTTCATTAAGGACAGAATAATGATGAAGTCAGAAAGAAATAGTGGTGAGGTTAACAGTTACATACGTACCTCTCCACCAACTGCCTATTAGAATGACTGCTTCAGCCAAATTAATATTTGTATAACTTATGCAATTCTTTCTAGCTGACAGTGCTGTGCAAATCTCTCAGCCAACAATTTTGTCTCCTCTGGAACAATGATAGTAGAGTTTGGGGGCCAAGCCCCACCCTCAGCAGCAGTGAGGATGGGTAAGGAAAAGGGAAGGGAAAGGCCCCAGAGTAGCTTATTCACTGGAGCAAAACAAGGAATCATCTTCTAATATTCATGCAGAAAAAATGGCAAGGTACGAACTTGGTATCTTTGCATAAATGGCATATTATGCGATTCAATATTGCATTATTTACTTGGCTTTGCATTCCTATTTCTTTTGGTTACTGATTTTTATCTTGTACTGAACTTGATGCACATGCATTCATTACATTTATGTTTCTACCTCAACCTATCACTTAAAAAACAATTATTATTTTTTTGGGGGGGGAGGGGGGGAGAAATGTCTTTGAGTTAGTGTTGACTCCTGGTGAATGCCCGCACATGTTCCTGCAGTTTTCTTGACAAGATTTTGTAAAGGCTGAGAAAGAGGGAAACTGCTCCAAGGTCACCCACTTGGCTTTATGCCTCAGGCAGGGCTAGAACTCATGGCCTCTTACTTTCTACTCTGGTGCCTCTAACTACTACACCAAACTGGCTCTAAAGAATAAATGTATTAACTCTTCATAAGGGAGGATGAGTTGAGAGATGCCAAGTACATCTCCTCTGGAATGTTCTGGGCAGACCTGTCCAGGTACTAATTACCTCAATCTCCCTCACCCATGAAAAGTTATTTAAACCAAGAGAAGCGAGGGTGAGAGTGAAAACTCTCAGTGTAGATGGAATAAGAAAGGTGCAACATTTCATCTGGCTTGAGAAAGAGGTGTGTCTACAGTCCTTTCAGCGTTCCTGTCTGCAGGTGAAGATGTTTAGGTATACCTTCTCTCATAATTTACGGTATATTACCTCAATAAACTTTTGGGCTCTTTGTTCCATGAGCGTTTTCTTTTGTTTTCGGTTTGAATCCAAAAGAACCTACTAGCACCTAACTGGCTATTGAGTGTCAGAACATCTGCTCTCCCATTAGAGTCAGGGAGACCCTGTCTCCCCCTGCCATCACTAAGGCAACCACACATTTTGGAAGAACTCGCAACTCTTCCTCTAAAAGATCCTCCTAAACTCAGCCACCCGAAAAGTCTGTGCTCCAAACTTTGATTGGCCAGAAAATAGCAGAAAACACAACACCTTTGCTGTCTGCTGGGATTCTGCATACAAATTTCCTTCCTCTTCATTCTTTCACAAGCATCAAAAAGGAGATGACAAGAGAATGAAAGAAAGGATGAGGATGAGAACGCTATTCCCAGTGTTAGCTGAGCTGCTGCTGAGGCAACACCTAGGTAGGCAACCTTGGCTCTTTTATGACTCGTGGACTTCAACTCCCAAAATTCCTGAGCCAGCATGGCACAGTTTGGAAACTCTCCCTTTCCCCTCAGCATGGATGGCTCAGGAATTCTGGGAGTTGAAGTCCAAGAGTCATAAAAGAGCCAAGGTTGCCTACCCGTGACCTAGGGGAATACTTGGTTGCTGCCTCCTTCGTTTTGCGCTATTCTTTCATTATAATTTCTATTGGAATATTGAACGTGAGGGACCATGTCTGCTATGCAAAACTCCACCAGATGGCAACAAAGAGTATCTCCTTGCTGCCATGTCTAAAGGTCATCTGAGTTATGCAGTCCATATATGCTAGTCCTACCACAGTCAGATTTGTTGAAGGCACGGGGAAGCCTGGAGGGTGTATGTTATCTCTCTATATTTAGACCACTTTTACTGTGAATACAGGCTTCTAATACAAACTTTAGTATTTGCATCCAAACGTCTATAATCTGCATCACAATACACATTTTATATTAGCTCCTCTCTGCAACTTTCACCCCCCTCAAATGGTTGCCTATACTGGGAACTGGGAACAAGCAATTCATACATGAAAAACCTTGGATAATTTTTGACGCATCCAGTTCTCAGAAGTCTATACTTCTTCTGTGGTTATAATAAGTAACCCATTAACTGATTTTCCCAGGTTGCAGGACAGTGTCAGGACTTAAGTTGGCATCCTGTTGGATATGAAAAAAGAGGGAGCAACTTGTGCTTTGAAAATAAAAGAATAACTTGGACCTTTGAGAAAAGCCTATTGAAAAGATCAGTCTCCTAGGAAAAAGTAAGGCCAGGATGCTAAATTAATTGCAATACAGATCCAGAATTTGCAGCACTGGAAGACTGGAAAAACACGTACTTAAACAGTAAGATTTTGCACATGTTAAGAAAAAACTATCAAGGAGAACACATTTGAAAGTCAAACTGGTTACTTCCCTGTCTTTCTCATACATCCTAACTTTATTAATTCCATTAATGTTAATCTATCTTACAATTAGATTAGTTTTTCCCTCCCACCATCTTGAAGACTGAGATTTTTGGCTCCAGATAGGTACAGCCATTGTGATCTAGGAAAGGAAGAATTAGCCTTAGAACTGGGGAAAAAAATTAACTCATTGCATAATATATGGCAAAATCACCATTTCTCAGTTTCAACTCCCCATCTGTAAAGCTGTAATGAAAGCTACTGGTTGGGAGCTTTAGAGATTGAAATGGGTTTCTCGGGTTTGTTAACTTAATTTCAACTTGGAGCAAATTTCTAGCAGTAAGTTATTCCATGGAAAAGGTCCGCTCATAACAGTCAGCCATTACATTGCCTTGGATAGAAAGGGCTATGAAAGATTAATCAGAGTAATAAAATCTTTCTAGGTCTGCTGGCTGCCTAGGTCAGTTATTCTTTGGCTCTGATTCTTGCCACTACAGCAGCAAGATACAGCACTAATTTGGTATTCACAAACGATTAGTGAAAGTGAAACTATAAAGACACAGCACTATGCACATTAGAAAAATGTACAAGGGCAAGAATGGGAAGTCTGCTGGCTCAAACACTGACCACAGAGGTAGTGAAATACTTTGTCTATCTAAGCTTAGATGCCTTTATTCCTTCAGATGTCTTCAGAATTGTAGATGTTTCAATGACAATTAGGTGTGTGGATGAAGCAAAGGCCATTTTGCTTGTAACAAATTAGTCATATCAATCATTTACGTCAAGGGTAGGCAATTAATTTTCCCAGGGGGCCAAATGAGAAACTGTGGGCTGTTGTGGAGGGCTGAACCAAAAGAGCTGTGAAAGTGTGTAGGCACACAGGCATGAACACATGTAAATTGGGGGGAAAATAGCAGTTGCTTTCAATATAAAAGCAATGCAGTTATATTGCATGCATGCTGAACACTTATTTACATTTGAGTTCTAATTTCTGATTGACCTCATGCAGACCAGACAGTGACAATCAAAGGGCTCAATACGGCCTGAGGGGGGGGCATAAAATGCCCAGGTGAACAGCTTCCAGGTGCCTGTTATAATTTTATTTATACCTCCCTACAGTTTATTTATATCTCCCTACAGAAGTTTACTTTACAATAGGAGAATAGTATGCGGGCAGAAATGCAATTCTTGATGTTATAAGGAAAGATGGAAAATATGCTGCCCAGTTTGATACTCCTTCCTGTTTTCCAATTTTTCCCATAATGTCTCAAACTTCCAGGTTCCCATAATATGTTAGTGTCAATACAGTATTTCCCTGAAAATAACACCAGGTCTTATATTAATTTTTGCTCCAAAAGACGCATTAGGGCTTATTTTCTGGTCAGGTCTTATTTTCGGGGAAATATGGTACTAAATGCATCTGTCAGGCTGACGATCTTAACTGGGGCTTATTTTTGAGGTAGAGCTTATATTACGAGCATCCTGAAAAATCATGCTATGGTTTATATTCCGGTTAGGTCTTATTTTCGGAGAAACAGGGTATATGAGGTAGTGTTAAGGGTTGGAGTAGAAGTCTACCCTTAGCCAGGAAATGGCCATAAGTCAGCCACTGGGCCATGCAAACAATCAAAGGCCTCTCTGTGGGATGCAGGCAGCATGCGAAACCACACTCCCTCTGGTCCTCAGAAAAACCTCTTTCCATGGAACTAGTTCCTGGTGCTCAAAAGGTTGGGGGCCACTGGTATAGAGGTATTCCTCAACTTAGTCACCATTCAAAATTCTGATGGACCTACCTGGAGGGTACTTATGACCCAGATTCAAAGTTCCAATGGTAAGGTTCCCCTGTGGTCATGTGACCATACTTGAAACTCCCGGCAACCGAGCCACATCTATGGCCCTTTGCGGCGTCTGACAGCCACAGGACTGCATTTTACAACAGTTTTGTGAAAAAAATAGCATTTACTTTTGCTTTTTGGCAAAACTACACCCATACTGAAACCACTGCTTTACCTAACAACTATGGCATTTACTTAATCACCATGGATTTACTTAACAACCCTGGCCAAAAAAAAGGTCATAAAATCGGTAGGCATTGGTGTTTAGTAGCTTATGCTATTTCTCTATCTTGAGTAGCACAAGAGAAACCAACTTAATGTAGAGCTGTTTTTTCTTTGATGTCGTAGAGTCGGTGTTGACACTGGTGACTGCCTGGACTGGTCCCCAAATTTTCTTGGTAAGATTTCAGGAGTGGTTTGCCCTTGTCTGCTTCCTGAACTGAGAGATAACTAGCCCAGAGTCAATCAACTGGATTTATACCTAAGAACTCACCATTTCGTGGCTTCTAGACTGGCGTTAACCACCCCACCAAGTTAGTTCTAATGCAGGGCAGTGGTCATGATTTTGACATAAAGATTCCTTCAAGTCAGCCTAAAGTACTAAGAAGGGTCTTAATATTGTGAGCAGCTTAAAAGACAGCATCCATCATTCTGCTACAGCTTTTGGAAATGTAAAGATGGAATTATTTTTCTAATTTTACATTTAGGTATTTAAAAAGCAATGTGGTGGCTGGGTTAATCAATAGTTCAATAACATACAAAAATCTTTAGTACGAATCTCAAGTTACAACATCAAATATTTCCTCTCTTTTTCCCTTAATATCTACTATCTCGTATTTAAGCTAATACAGTTCTTATTATATCAACTAAGTAAAAACATCATTATTACATTTATCAATAAATTTTTAGTTTATACATATCTTAATTACTTTTACATTCAATCTTTATAGACAATCAATGTCCTGTTATTGGTTTTTTCCTCCCAATTTTTAGTTTCCCATTAATATTCAAATTTAACATTTGATATTTATAATTTCCAGGTTTTAGGTAACCAAAGTTTCCCTTATCTCAATTCATAACAGAATCTAATATTCAAAATACACATCTTATCTATTTGAGTATAGTCTTGTTCTATTTTCTAAAAGTTATCTATTTCCCACCATATTAAATCATCTAATTAATAATACAGTATCTCCTTTAATAAATCAAAACCATTATGTATATTGTCTGGGTTTCTCAAATCCCTTTAAAGCCACGTACCTTGGCAGAGTTTACTGCAGGGCTGCCAAGGTCCATAGACATTCCAATAAAACTGCTGAGGTTTATCTTCGATGGGGATATTGAATGTGTATCGAACATCAGGATTATATAAATTACCCACTGATAAAACCTGAGAAGAAAAAGATAAGAAAAGCATAACATCAAGGGAGGAACTGTACTATTTCATCTCCATAAACATTAAAAAAGAGCAAGATCTATTTGATTTTCTTTTAGGGGGAAAAAAAAGAGATTTTTCACCTGAAGAACTATTTCTTGATCAATGCGGTAAGTAGAATTGATTCGTTCAACGGGAGTGTCTGAGCCACTGTATTCTATGACAGCATTTCCAATTTTGATTTCCTTCTTAAACATACTGACAACATAGTCTCCATTTAATATGAAGCCCTCACTGCTTGACAATGCTAGGTTCACAAAGATAAACAAAAAATGAATCACAGTTAATTTTCTTATATACACCAGGAAAGATATTACAGTGCATTTAATATTGATATTGATTTATTCATTTTACTTGTAGACAACCCAATGATTGTGGTTCTTCTGGCAGTGTAGAAATCAATTTATTTACTTAATAGGAATTCTATAATTTAAATTCTGCTTTAAAATGCAGCCTAATTAGAATAAATTAGAAAATCATAATCATAGAAGTTGTGTTTTCCGGATGCAACCCCACAATACGAAAAATCATAGCCTGAAGAATTTGCTTTTTAATGGACTAGATTACACAGTTACTTTGGAATAATCTGCAGCATGCTTTCCAGGTATCCTTGAATTGTACCTATACTCAGAATAAGGATATGATATAATACTGGAACAATATCTGTTAAAGAACAAGTTACCTAGTTTTTTTTCCAGAATGGATCTCATTTTACCTGAATGTGATTTCAACAATAACCAGATCAAAATACAATGCAGGCAGTCCTCGACTTAGGATTGTAATGGAGCCTGCCTATTACAGGTAAGTAGTTGTAAGTAGTGATGGTTGTAAAGTGATTACCTATGTGATTGGCCTGATTTTACAATCTTTTCTGCAGTGGTCATTAAGTGAATGCTGTGGTTGCTAAGTGAATCAACTGTTTATTATGGGCAGTTTTTGCTGAAAACGAAGTAAATGCCATTTCCCCCCCAAAAAAGTAATAAAATGTTGTTATGCAGCCGTAAATGTGAGCTGGTTGCTAAAAAGCACGCGAAACACAGTCACATGATGGGGGATGGGCCGGAGTGGACAGTCATTAGAACTTTGGAACAGGATTCTAAATACCCCTGGTGAGGTCCATTCTAACTTCAAATTGTCATTAAGTGACCGGTTCTAAGTCAAGGACTTCCTGTAGAAGAAAGCTATGTGTCATTCTTAATTTTCAGTGACTCCTGCTGTGCTTGGTTGGAATATAAAAATCTTTTTATATGATTTCAGACAACCTGTACAATTGAAATTCTAACTTAGTGCCATTTAATCTTGGCCAATCCAGCAACAATAGTTCTTTAAAAGTGAATTTTTAATAAGGAATTTGTAGAGTCTTCCAATGTAACTCTACCTATGGTATATTCCCAATTTACTTCTGTTTATACGTAGTTGTAGCTGATATATCAGCCAAAGCCAATAAAAGGATTTCAATTGTCTCTCAGATTATTTTACTCTCAAGTATCCAAGCTGGGTCTTCAAGCTCCTCCAAGTTATGAACTTGATTCTAGTGAAGAAATGTATCCCATTTAGAGCAAGCTGTAGTCAATTTAGCCAACCACAACACTTATTCCAAGATAAAACCAAGTAGTCAATTCAAGTCACAGGGGAAAAAAAAGTAGTTTTTGCCAATATGAAGGGATACATTTCCAAATTGTAGGCAGACTAGTTTTCAGTGCAAAATCAGACTAGGAATACATCATGGGAATTGAAGTATGTTTCTTCAGAATTTAGACTGCACTTTCTCCAAGGGGATAATGGAGCTATATAGTCCCTCATTCCAAATTGTTTGCTTGACCTAACTCAAGTAATCCAACTAAGCCCAGTTAAATCAAAATAGCTTTATCCTCAAACATGCCAAACTGCTCATGGCAGACCATTTTGTCCTGACTCTTAAGTGCCACAGAATAGGGCCTGGTTAACCAGATTCAGAATGTGTTTTCCTCAGTCTGCATTCAAGCATTTTGCTTCATGATTTAGTTCCATTTTTCTACTATGAAAAGGAGGCTCAGCCAAAAACAAAAAAAAAATCACCTCAAGAGCTCAAAGGGAAACGAGGCTTCATAAATTGTAAATCGCCATCTAGGATTTTCTGAAAAGACTTAGATTCTATGGATCCTAACAGGTTTCTGTGCTTCCAGATAGGATAAAGAAATTGAGAGCCTAAAACTTAATCAGGTTTCCTTCCAGCTCTATATTCTTGTGTATAATCAGATGTGCACCTGTATATGAAGGGAATATATATGTGTGTGTGTGAGTGTGTGCTGTAATATTTCCCATTACTGATAATTACAAAAAAAAATATCTCAAGCTCCACAAGCACAACATTATGCTAGTTCAAATTTCTATCTTCCAATCTACCCTCTTTTCCCTATCTAGCATCATTAAAAAGAATTCATTTATTTGTACAGAGTGCAATGAATTTCAAACTGAACCTATAAATGGAGAATTAGAAAGTGTTGTGTTCGCATTTGTTGTCTTTGACTAGAAACTATACACTAAAAGCTGAAAACTTCAAAACTTAGAAAAATAGTTCCCTTTCAGCTCAGGAACCCTGTCTTCCTTTAAAATGTATTATTTCCTGAATAATAGCAGCTTGCTGTTGTTATGTAGTTAATTTCCTAAGTTAGTTTCTCACCTGTTTCTTATCACTGCTACTCTACTGCCCTAAGGGAGTGTTTAGTGGAGACTGAATAAGACTGCAAGAGATAAGGAAAGACACAACTGATAGAGAATCCAGGCACGATCACATTCTATTCTATCTGCATGGTGCCAGATAATAATGGCTAGACCGGTGATGGCGAACCTTTTAGAGACTGAGTGCCAAAAACTGCCCCCCACCCCCCCGTTCCCACTCCACCCTGCCCGCTGGGCCACCCACCACCTCCACGGCCTGCCATAGATCACCCAGGCAGGCCAGCAGCACCATGGTGGCTACGCCTTCCGCCCGTGCCCTGCAGCATCATCTGCGCGCGATGGGGCACAAGGGAGGAGTCTTGTCCCCACTACCATGTCCTTGGCTGTGCTGCTTCACATAGGCCGTGCCGGGGGATGACTCTCCTCCGGGGGGGAGGCTGCTGGTGAGGAGGGGGCCATGGGAGGAGGCGGGGCTGGGGCAACGGTGCGTGTGCCCACAGAGAGGGCTCCGAGTACCGCCTCTGACACGCGTGCCATAGGTTCGCCACCACTGGGCTAGACCCAGATTTATACTTAATAGACCCAGTTAAATTAATTAGACTTGAATTGGCCAAACCATGAAAAATATGAAAAAACTGAGAAGGATGAAAGACTGAGTGAGAGAGATGAAATTCCTCCAAAAAGTCTAAATATCAATGTCAATTTTAATAACACAGGCATTATAGAAGGCCTCATAGTCTTAACTGCATAAAAATGTAAATACATTGTATTGAAAGCTTCTATAGACATTTCAGTTAAGGCACATTTGCTCTTTTTTCTGTTCTAGATTTTGAAAGAAAGCTAAACTGCATTTCAAACCCAAAATAGAGAAAAAACAACAACATTCGCTCTAAAGCCACCTCAAATGAGTTTTTTAAAACATAGGAAAGGAGATAGACCTGGGCATCCAGACCATAGCACACTCAAGGTGGAGGGGAATTAATTTTTCCCAAGAAAATGCCCCATGTCTATGAAATGTAGCCTTTATCCTTCAGATGAAGTGATAGTATCAATAAAAATGTCTATTTTCTATCCTCCCATCTGAATAGGATGAGTTTTTTTTTTTTAAAAAAAATCCCTAACGTAGCCAATTATGGTATTATTAACACTTGACTAAATGGCCAAGTCTGTTAAGAAGCATTCATACGAGCCTATCCTAAAATGATATGAGAAGGCCCAATACAAGTAGTCCTTGACTTATGACTGCTCACTTAATAAGTTACACCTGACCCCGAAAAAGATTCTTATGACCTCTTGCATTTTGGATGTTTGGCAAGTGGTACACATTTACCGCCATTTGCAGCATCCCATGGTCATGTGACTGTGATTTATGGCATTTTTGCCAGAAACCAATGTTTACTTCCAGTTTCTGGCAAAAAACGCCTCATAGTGAGCAAAGGGTTTGCTTTATCATGGCGTTTGCTTAACAATTGCAGTATTCTCTTTATGAATACTGCAGTATTTCTGCACTATTCACTGCAAAAAAGGTCCTAAAATCAGGCATGGTCACATGGTAACCTACTATACAACCGTCACTGCTTATGACTGAAATTGCAGATTCAGTTATGGCTGTAAGACAAGGACTGCCGTTGTGATCTTTGTATCTTTTTCCAACTAAGAGTTATATGATAGATATGACAAGAGCATTTATTTTTTTTGGAAGGGAATAACATTAATTTGCAGTTGCTGAAGAGCATCACCTCTTACCAAGGTAATTATCATCTTCTGGTTTCCCTGAGTAACTATGCTGCCGAACGTCGATATTTGTAGCACCGGCTGGAATGCGTATCACAGTGTTATAACCTGAGGAGACAAGCCAAAAAGTCAAGCTTTTTATACATGTGCAGCCTTGGTATTTTTTTTTTACAATAATGACAAAAAAGAAAAACTGTGCTATGATTCAACATCACAGTAACCAAGTAGATACTTTCATGTTATCATCAAATAGCAAGAAATTCAAAATATGAAAAAAAACCTGAAAGTGAAATCTTATTCATCATAATACTGGTTTTTAAAAACATGTCACATATGGTTAAGTTTGCTAGCAAACAGCTTTTCTCTTCTTACCGTAGTGCACTGTATTGAATGTCCCTGCAATGGTTTTGCACGATGAATTATCGCCACCACACACACCACATTTATCCCTTCTGGCTTTGGAATTGAGCACATGATCACATCCAGCTTGCTTTAGAGAAAGAAAGGTTCAGAATGAAATTGGACAAATATGAAAATAAGATAGAATTTACAGGGTTGCAAATGAAAACCATACTACCAGCAATGGCCTCTGACAGCACATTCATTCTTTATTTTTTCCAATATCCTGTTAAGCTATAATAATCATAACCATCCTCCTATTAGGACATGAAAAGTAAGCATGTTTCAAGCCATGTGAAAGTGCAAAGCAATACGGCACGCTGGGAGATAAGTGAGACAGGATAGGCAGGTGAACTCCTGGAGCTACAGAGAAGATTACACAAAGATTATTATGCCTTGTGGAAATGGGTAGCAGTTGTAACAACAACAGATGAGTCTGGGTTATTAAGTGCTAGGCTTATGAAGCTTTCAGCCAAATCATGAATGCAATGGTGATCCCAACAAAATGACTACAATTGCTCCAATTATCTATATTCACTTGTCCATAATAATGCCAATCTCAACCATATAGGTCAGTGGTGGCGAACCTATGGCACGGGTGCCAGAGGCGGCACTCGGAGCCCTCTCTGTGGGTACATGTGCCGTTGCCCCAGCCTTGCCTCCCCCCGCGGCCCCCTCCTCTCCCACAGCCCCCCTGAAGGAGAGTCGCCCTCAAGCGTGGCTCACATGGAGCAGCGCAGCCAAGGACATGGCAGCCAGGCAGCGTAGACAAGACTCTGCCCTCACACCCCATCATGCAGTTGATGCTGCAGGGCGCGGGCAGAGGGTGTGGCCGCCATAGCACTGCTGGGCTGCCTGGGCGATCTGTGGCGGGCCATGGAGGCGGTGAGTGGTCCTGTGGGCAGGGGGGGTGGGGGATGGGGGAAGAGCGGGGGTGGGGCAGGAGGGTGGAGTGGGGGCGGGGCCAGTTTTTGGGCACTCGGTCTCTAAAAGGTTCGCCATCACTGATATAGGTCTTCTGAAACTCTAAGAAAGTAAGATTTCTAATATTAATAAGTTTCCACTTAAAGTAGAAACTTACAATGATGTGAACTTAGATGCTTCTCCACCAGCTTCTCATTTACAATACAGTAATTCCTGCACTGCATTTTCAGAGTTCTTCAAACATTTAGGGAAGGAAGTGACTCCCATTTACAAACAGGACATTTTTATATCTGTCCTAGTTAAATTATATCATTTTATGGGAAGCCTGGCACCTAAACAGTTCTCATAAATACGTATGTGTAAGCCCATCCTGTAAGTCTCTCTAGAAAGAAAAGCAACATGTCTGTTTCAATTCTGACACTGCAGCTGAACTGACGAAACAGAGGAAACAGAAAGCCCAGGATACGTATAATGTACTTTTTTTTTTTTAGCCTCTCCACTGCTTTTCAATCATTTTCAAACAAAAGAGGATTTAGTGGCAATAGAGAATAGAGCTGATTTATACTTGAATCAGACAATTAGCCCATTTAGTTCAGTACAATCTGTATTGCATGTGGAACAAGCGGTGCACACACGCAACACTCAGAGGACTCCCGTGCAGATCAATGCAGGCTTTCTGGTTCCCATCCGTGTTCCCTGCTGCTGCAGCTGCTACTTTGTGAAGGACGATGACACACAAGGAATTATCCTGGCATGCTGTCTTCCTGGTACAATAATACTCCTAAGTTAGTGGAAGTCTGATGGAAATGTGGAAAATGATATTCTACTCACATCTCGTCTCTTCAGACTTAATTGTCTCTCAATAGCTCACTAACAGGCTCTTTGGAAGACGGTCAGGAAAGCAATTGAAGCGGGGAAGGTGGTGTGGGGAGCTGGGCTCTCCTCAGATCCAATCTTCTCTGTTTAAATTTCATGCCAAGATTGGTCCCGAGATAACAGAATAACAGAGTTGGAAAGGACCTTGGAGGTCTTCTAGTCCAACCCCTTGTTCAGGCAGGAAACCCTATATACCATTTCAGACAAATGGTTGCCCAATCTCTTCTTAAAAACCTCCAGTTTTTATGTAAAAGGACAGGTGTAAAATAAACTCAGCATGCAATGAGGGAGATTTCAGTCTCTATCTCTGCTTCCTGAGATGGGTAAGGATTATTTTTGCCTCCTTTGCTATGTAAGTCTCTGAGCGGGAGTAAGTAGTTGGTGAAGGAGAGGAAAAGGGAATAGAAAATTTGTATCAGCTTGCATTTGCATGAGTGAGAAGATGTAATGTGGCTACTAATTCAATCAGGCTTGTGTGGCTAGCAGGATCAAAAAAGAACACATATTTTAAGCTCAACTGAACTAAAGAGAGCCAGATTGGTGTGTAGCGGTTAAGGTGCTGGCCTAGAAACTAGACGTCTGGGAGTTCTAGTCTCAATTTAAGCATGAAAGGTAGCTAGATGACTTTGGGCCAATCATTCTCTCGGCCCAGCCCACCTCACCGGATTGTTATTGCGGAAAAAATAGAAGGAGGTGGGAGCAGTGGCAGGATTCAAATATGTGAACAACCGGTTCTCTATGTTTGATGCCGCTTCCGGAAGTCCATTCTGGGCCTGGGCAACAAAAAATTAGCTACCAGTTCTGCCAAACTGGTGCAAACCGGCTGAATCCCACCACTGGGTGGGAGTTTATGTATGTTCATTTCCTTCAGTTAACTATAAAGTAATAATGGCAGGATAACAATTTCATAAAATAAATAAAACTGACAGCAGTTCTTCAAAATTAAAGCCTGAAATCTTCCCTAAGTTAACCTGGAGCTGCTGGACATTAAATAGGAGATTTTTTTTTTTCCTGCAGAAAACAAATACTATACTATTAATACGGAACCGTTCTTGCTTACAGAGAAATGGCAACACATCTGCTAAAGCAGGAAGCAATTAGTGCTAAGTCCAGATTGGATTGGACTGATCTTTTGGGGGGAGGGGGTAGATTCATTTTGGGCTTTTGATACCTCCAAGCTCTCACACTTGGCATTAACATAGCCATGCACTGGGACCAAGCAGCGTCTCTCTTTAGGATGGCATTTATTTATGCTTGACATACTTGACATTCTGTACAATTTGGAACTTTACTAGTACCACTTCCAGTGGTTAGCCAAGGAGTAATGTAAAACAGAAATACTATTGTGTAAATTATATAAAATAGAGCTCTGGCTTAAATTAAGGATATGTCACACAATTATCAGTTCATGTGAGGAGAAGATGGAAAACGTGACCCATGTTTGAAAATAGCTTGTTAAATAAAATAAAGTAACATTTACCCGACAAAGTCCTTGTACACAGATGTCATTTGTGTCTGGGCCACAAGGGGTGCCATCAATAACCCTGTCCCTGAGCTGATAATAAGCTGTATTTCCTGCCACTCTGCAGAAGAGCTTGCACCGGTCTTTCATTAAAACTGTCAAAGCAAAATAATCCGGTTATTTTCTATCTGGTCTTTCACTTTCTTTGATAAGAAAGTTCTCTTGCTGTTGACCCATAGCATTGAATTCATGCTGCAGCCTTTGAGTCAATGCACTCTACATGGGGCTACTCCTGAAATCCATTTGGGAGCTTCAGTAGCAGTGAGAGCAGTCTATGGGGACCCTAGAATGGCTCATATTATAGCTCGGCTCTGTGAACTACACTGCTTCCAGGTGCAGTTCAAGGTTTTGGGGCTGACCTTTAAAGCCCTTAATGGCATAGATCTAGGCTGCATGATGAACTGTCTCATCCCACTAGGACAAGTCCCCACTACTTGTGCTGGCAGAGAAGACCTACTGTGGATCCCATTGGTTAAAGAACTCTGATTATCAGGATCCAGAAAAAGATTCTTCTCTGCTGTAGTGCCCACCCTTTGGAACATCTTACTCTCTAAGGAGAGATTAACCTCCAGCCTCCTATCCTTCTGTAAGAATAGCAATAGCAATAGCACTTAGACTTATAAACCGCTTCACAGAGCTTTACAGCCCTCTTTAAGCAGTTTACAGAGTCAGCATATTGCCCCCAACAATATGGGTCCTCATTTTACCGACTTCAGAAGGATGGAAGGCTGAATCAACCTTCACTTCCCCCCTGCTTCCCCCCTGCCCATCTTTTATTCTCATGTCACTGTATCATTGTTTTATTTTTCATTGTTTATTCTGTTGCTCCATTACGTTATTGTTATGTTTACACTTTTCATTTCTCTGTTTTTACTGTTGAAAGCCACTTAGAGTAGCCCCATGGCGAGATAGGCAGCAAATAAATTTTAAAAACTAACAAACAAACAAAGAGAAACTATGCCAATATCTGCTTGGCCCAAATTACTGATCTTTTACCCAATGGGCTATTCCCAGCTCAGTTAAAAGGACAAACAGGCACCAGATGCCAACGATGCTTACCGATAGTCCTTGTCTTACGACCGTAATGAAGCCCTGAATTTCTGTTGTAATTCATGACCATCATACGTTAAGGCACCCATGTGGCCGGACCCAATTTTACAACTTTTTTTGTGGCAGTTATTCAGTGAACATTGTGGTTGTTAAAGAAATGTGGTGGTCGTTAAGTGACACCACAGTTATTAAATGAATCAATGTATTCCTATAGGTATTTTTGCCCCCAAAGTGGCAGAAAAGCCCAGAAACTGGCAGAAAAGGTTGTAAATTGCAGGCACATGACCATAGAACCCTGCAAATGAGCATAAAGGTGATCCAGTTGCCAAGTGCCCAAAATGTGGTCATTTGTGCAGCCATCAGAACTCTAGAACCGACTCTTAAGTAGCTTTTGCAAGGTTCATTGTAACTTTGAACAGCTGCTAAGCGACTCGTCGTAAGTTGAGGACTATCTGTACTTCCTGAGAATAGTATAGCTAAACAGGGGACAGGCGAGCTTGTCTTACCTGAAGAATAGGAACAAAAACAAAGACTATGCCTTTGCACCCTATTGCGTGCAGATGATGCTGCGGGGCATGGGCAGGGGGTTTGGCTGCCATGGCGCTGCAGGGCCACCTGGGCGATCTGCTGCGGCAGGCCGTGGAGGCAGTAGGTGGCCCTGCAGGCGGGCGGGGAACAGGGGGGGCAGTTTTGGGGCACTCCGTGTCTAAAAGATTCGCCATCACTGTTCTAAACTATAGCCCATAAAATCTAAATAGTTTTGACACCTAGAGATACTATATTTTTTTCAACAGAGGAAAAAAATACAAAAAGGTGATGTTTCTTCTCTGATTTATACATCACAATTGTCCTGACCTACATCTGACAAACATTCCCAACTGTACTTTCAATGTTTGTTCATTCAATTTCTTATTAACTCAGTTGGGAAAAAATGTTTCCACAGTAATTCATCTCATAACAATAGTTTATGAGAGTCAGCTACAGGCTAGGAAGAACACAGCCCAACAACAGTATTTAGGAAGGGAATAGGTGGCTTTGAGCCAGTGACTCTCTCTCAGCCCAACCCACCTCGCAGGTTGCTGGTGTAGGGAAAACAGGGGGAGGAAGGAGTATTAGCCTTGAGTTCATCGTCTCAAGTTACTTATAAAAAAATAAAGGCAGGATATAAATAAATCAAAATAAATAAACAAACAAATTCCTCGCGAATTCTCGCATCTACAGTAGTTGCTTTACTGATGTACTTACTTCCACTATACTTAGGAACCCAGCGCACATTAGGAGGTAGACCGTTAATGTTAAAATGCTTCCCATCAAAGACAGCACACTGTTCATCACGGAAATCTTTCTTTAGTTTAGAACATGGTTCAGTGTTGCACGATTTAAATTTCATCCTGCGCCCCACACAGTATTTTCCACCATTTTTTGGCCTAAAAAAAATTAAGCAAAAAAAAAAAAAAAGATATGTTTATGAATGACATTAAGAACTTTCATATTCTCTCAGATTCAGCTGAACCATGTTTGAGTTCACGATGCTTTTCTCAGCTTTTGTTTTCTTTCCATTATATCAAGATCTTATTGTGTCTGAATTAAGTTAGCTTTTCTGCTTCTATTATAAAGAATAGAAGATGGCAGCTTTCTTTGAAAGATACCAGGCTGGCAATAAACTAGACAGTATGTTACATCTTATGATGCTACTTCTTGTGAATCAGGAATCAGTTCTCTCACAGTGATGAAACGTAAAGTCTGGGGAAATTATGTTCAAAGAAAAGGAAAGTGATAAATGAGCTATTACCTTAGGGTCCAGTTTAGAAGTAATTAAATCAATCCAATAAGTTTTAGTGAGCAAGGAGGCGTATTTATCAAATAATGAAGGTCCCCTTAAATTTGAACTAGGAATCATAATTTCAGTTTGTACATCAAGATAAACATTTGTTTAAAATGAAGATTTTTAATTGAAGTTTAAATCTGTTTCAGATTCAGATGTAATGGAGAATTAGTTTAGCAATAGCATTTAGCCCTAGATGGGCTGATGTAGTGTGCAAAGGAAGAAAAGGGAGGGGAAGTGGGGAAGGCTTGTAAAATACATTTATTCTCCACCTGAGGAAGCACTGGACTGAAATGGCTATATTTCAAGATCAGTTCAGAGAGAAAGAGAAAACATTTTAGAAATTAAACAGGTTTCAGTTTCAACCAGCAAGACCAAATGCAATCTCCCTGTTACGTGGAATAGCCCTTTAAAGGCTAAAAACCAATATTTTCTTATTTGACTGGGACTATGAAAGCAAGAGAACTGTCAACCCTCCCGAAAAGCCACACAATAAAGCTTAGTTTGATAGATAAAACAGGTTTCTTTTCTGTGCCTCTATTTTCAGACAGAATTGAAACAATGGTGCATGAATCTGATTGTGAATGATTAATGCCACCTTCCAACATTTAGGAAAATAGGTAGGGTGAAAATTATCAACTGGCCATTCAAGAGAGCAAGATGCTGGTCTAAAAACCAGGAGTCTGTGAGTTCTAGTCCTGCATTACACATGACGGCTGAATGTGGGATCTTGGGCCAGTAACTCTTTCTTAGCCCTACCCACCTCACAGGGTTGTTGTGGGGAAAAGAGGAGGAGGAAGGAGTATTAGGTATGTTCGCTGCCTTGAGTTATGTATACAAAATTAATAAAGGCAGGATACAAATAAATATATAAATAAATCCAATCCAATTCAACCCAATCTAATATACAATCCATGCCCTCACTGGATATTTAACTTACACGTTGTACTTCACGTTTTGCTTTTCACTTACGAAGAAATTATTTGCTCAGGAAAATATGAAAGCTCAATTTCTTAACATTCACATATTTCAAGTGCAATGCTCCATCTGGTAAATTTCATTTCTTTTCAAGGCTTAATAATGTGACAGGAAATACAGAGAGACCTCAACTTACAACCACAGAATCTTAGTTGCAAGTCAAGTGAGACTCCCATGTGACTGCCTTGCTCAACGACCACAATCCCAGCATTCCCCACTGCAGTTGTTAAAGGTGCCTAAGGGGGAAGTCTTGAGAGGTCCAGCGCTCCCCTGTAAACAAAAACCTACGGGGCCCAGAAGGCCTTGGCCAGCCAGGTCCAGGAGCATGTGGGCCTCCTCCCTCTCCCTCCCTCTCAAGAGGCCTGGTCTTCTCCCTGTCCCACTATGCCTGGAAGGCCTCAACCGGCCGGACCCAGGGGCATGCAGGCTTCCTCTCTCTCTCTCTCTCCACACTACCCAAAAGCCTAGCCTTCTCCCTGCACCATCCCCAGAAAGCCTGTTCCTGTTCTTGGCCAGCTTTAAGAAAGATTGCCTCTCTAGCCGTAAGGAAGATGTCTTCCCTAGCTTTCTAGCTGAGCTTCACATCAGCTGCACACGCCTGTCAGCAGCTATAAGGAAAGGGAAAAATAACTGGACCTAGGAGTAGCCAGCTCATGCCTTCCGGGCATGGTGGGTGAAGAGAAGGTCCAGGCCTTTCAGGAGTGACAGAGGGGAGATGGGAGCTTGCACATGGTTAGGCCTGCAGCTGAGGCCTTCTAGCCCAGGGGTAGTCAACCTTGGCTCTTTTATGACTCGTGGACTTCAACTCCCAGAATTCCTGAGCCAGCAGAGCTGGGAGTTGAAGTCCACGAGTCATAAAAGAGCCAAGGTTGACTACCCCTGTTCTAGCCTGTCAGAGGTTTCCTAGGCAGCTGAGGACTCAGTTGGGGTGGATTGGTAGCAGCACTCCCACAGTCATAAGGATGAGCACACTGGTAAGCACCCAAATTTTGATCACATCACTGTAGGGGCACTGCAACGTTGGACTGTCTTGTAGGGATTCATTTAGCGCCATCATAATTTCAAATGGTAATTCCATACCTATCTATGTAAGCATCCAGAAGAAAAACAATGGAAAATTACGTGCGTGCAGTGACATCACAACACAAGCCCCGTCATTAGGTACATCCATCCTGATGTTTGATGCACATATATAAACATACTATTTGCATTCTACCCCTCCCACTTCCCCAAAGACAATGATGCCTGGAACAAATCACATAATTATATGGGATCTACTTCTAAAACAAACATACCTATGAGGTTTGTACACATAAAAAAAAATCTGTCCTTAAGACTTTTAAACACAATACTTTTTCATTAAGATGGCATGCATTTTTATCTGAAGACAGTAAACAATAATGGATTGTTTAATTTATCAATAGTGGATTGTCTGATATACATGAAACTATGTTTGAAGGCCACCTACAATAATTTCTGAAAGGAATACTATTCTCCCCAGAATATTGTTTTTTTAACATCAGAGGTAATGTATAGCAATATTGTTTTTTTAATATAGAGGTTGTCACAAATTGTACAAAGTCAAATTCTTCTTCCAAGCTATCATTTACAAGCTTCAGAGTACGATGATGGAACTTTCTCTCAATTGAGATGAGTGGGTTAATACATACAGCTTTGAAAGGGATTTTTTTTTTTCATTTCTGACAAAGTTATGAAACTTTGAAAAATTTAAGGCTTAATTTGCTTTTCTTAGAAAAAACAAGCAAACCTGGATCTCAATCTAATCCCATTTCAAAAAGGCCTAGAAGACCTCTGTTGAATCAGGACTTGTAAGTTGATTGAGCTTTACAAATCAACTTTTTTTAACATATTAAAGTTTCATCATGAATCATTAACCAACAGATTATTATGCAAAAGTCTATTTTACGATCTTGAAAAGTGGAAAAGCTCTACTGTGATCAATATAAGGCTATGGCTCTAATGTGGTTAATTTTAGAGATGGTCAATCAAGTGCTTTTATAGGGGGCAGCGGCTTGATCAAAATGCTGAGGAATTGTTAACATATCTTCATTCAAATTATGATTGCAGATACGTGAAGGTGTGATAAAGATGAGCCTCCAGCTTGTCATCTCTATTCCCAGAAGACAAGAAGGGGCATGGGGGGGGGAGGGAACCAAGCTCTTTATCCTAGTCCTTTATTCATATTTTTTCAAAACTCAATTCCCATGTGTTCAATAGAGGTTATCAGCAGGTATCTCTACCCTGCAACCATGCAATGTAATCCTATGTATCTGTATCTGAAATTCAGTGTCCCCTAATCCTGTTGTTGCTTCCTTTTAATTAACCAAGCATGCATCTGTTGCAAGGCGTATTTTTCCAGTTGCAAAGATGAGGTATTTTAAAGGTAGATCCCTTTCACACAGTATTCCCATAACTTTATATTTAACTGTGAGCCCAAAGAGCTTTTAGAACATTTGTGAAGTCCTAACAAGTTTTACTGAGATAGCCTAGAGGTATTTCATATATTAAACCTGGAATCACTTCCAGATTACATAAAAAGTAGTACAGTATATTGGAAATCAGTTTTATATTGTCAGGCATAGGGATTTTTGGAACTTCATGAATTCATGCTTTTATGTATCCTTTTCTTAGTTTTGGCATAAGTTTCCATTGTCACTATAAACAATATTATTTATTTGAACGCCTGTGTTTGGGAATACTGGATACTGTATCTCCTATGCAAAAATGACAATCATTTGAAAAATATTGAAGTCTTTTAACTATGAAACAAAATAATGGCATTTTGTTCCATGTCATTAACATGTTTATTACAGCACTTTTTTTCAATATAAACAGGCCGTGGTTGCAAACAGCCCTCCTCTCCCATGAATTAACAATCATGTAACACCAACATGACAGAATTTTCATGACATCTGGCAGATTGGTGCAAAAACAGAGACAAGAGTTTTATAGTTTTTGCCTCTACCAACAGCCTCCTGCCTTTCTGCATCAATGTACCATTAACTACCATCCTTACTCTTCCCAAAACCATAGTCATAGTTTTCAGGCACAAAAAGGTATCAGTATGCTAGGAAAATCTTCTCCAACCAGAAGGTTGAGCCAACTAGAAAACAAAACATCTCATAATGTTTTCACTGTGATGGTGAACTCTAACAGTTCTGAGAGGACCAAAAAGACAATCTAAAGCAGTGTTTCTCAACCTTGACAATTTTAAGGCATGTGGACTTCAACTCCCAGAATTCCACAGCCAGCATTGCTTCAATTCTGGGAGTTGAAGTCCACATGCCTTAAAATTGTCAAGGTTGAGAAACACTAATCTAAAGAGTATTTAAATTTTTCCTCATGTAGCAAACTGATTGCAATTCTCTGAAAGAAGTTTGCCTTGATATATTAGGCATCATGGCTTACTTAGTAGAGCCGCCATAAACAATAAAATGTAAGCAGTAAAACAGTGGAATGGTCCTAATATAGGTGCTATCTTGAGATGTTTTGTGCTTGGGTGGGACAGTAGTCTAGAATGACAAATCATGTACTAACTCCAGTTCCTATTGCTATATATGGTATGGAAGCAGATTATTAAAACAATATTTATAAGACTTTATTTTCTCCAGACATTATGTAATTCCTTTTTATCCCATAGCAAGCCTTGTATGCCATATTCTCCGACTCAGACCAAGAAAACAGCTCAGCTGAGTGTCACTAGGGTTGTTGCTCATCTGGAGAAAGCACTTTTTGCCCGCATTGCAGAAAAAGTAACAGCTTCTTAGGCCAGTACCAAAAAAAAATATTTGTTTTTTTTGTTCCTGATGGCTTAATGCAGGGTTGCCCAGCAGGAACTGCAAAGATCTCGGCAGCTATCAAATGGCAGCGAGAGATAAAAGGTTCTGCATCTCTTTGTAGCATCCTACAGTCCTTCACAGTTTTGCAGCTCATGTTTAGCAATCCTATATACTGTAATATTTTCCTGATTTATTTTTACGAATGCAACATTTTTGCATTGGTTATCAATACTCTATCTTGAAAATATCGATTTGCATTGTGACAAAACTTAAGGCAATTATAGATAGTCCTTGACTTACAACCATTTTTTTTAGCAACTGTTCAAAAGTTACAATAGCATTAAAAAGTCCTCACACTTAGGACCACTGAAGCATCCTCATGGTCATGTGATCAAAATTTAGGCACTTGGCATGCATTTACCAGGGTTGTAGTATCCAACACTGGAAGTTTTTAAGAAGAGACTGGACAGCCATTTGTCTGAAATGGTATAGGGTTTCCTGCCTGAGCAGGGGGTTGGATTAGATGACCTCCAAGTCCCTTCCAACTTTTTATTATTATTATTATTATTATTATTATTATTATTATTATTATTATTATTATTATTATTATTATTATTATTATTATTATTATTATTATTATTATTATTATTATTATTATTATCCTGGAGTCATGTGATCGCTATTTGAGACCTGCCCAGCTGATTTTCAACATGCGAAGTCAATGGGGACTTAACAACTGCATGTTTCACTTAACAACTGTGGCAAAAATTTGGTAAAACTGGGTGAAAATCACTTAATAATTGTCCTGCTTAGCAACAGGACATCTGGTCCCAATTATGGTTATTAAGTCAGGGACTGCCTATAGTTCTTAGTATAAAATGGAATAATTCCTAATCATAGCAGTTGATTACTCTTTACAGGACCTTCAAAGGACCATAAAGACCTTCAAAGAGTTTGTAGTGTGATGACAACCTACAGCCATAAATGAAAAGGACACTTGCAAAGACACTTGATCTTTAGCATTAGCATTATTTTATGTGTTAAGATTAATGCTAAATTAAAAATGCTTTTAATATTTGTTAATGATAACAATTTTAAATATTTATTCTTTCAACCCAGGAGCTGCTGACACAGTTCTACAGAGGAACTATTGAGTCTGTCATCTGTACTTTGGTAACTGTCTGGTTTGGTACAGCAACCAAACAGGACAGGTACACACTTCAGTGGATAGTTAGGACTGCAGAAAAAACAACTGCAACCAGTCTGCTTTCCATTGAGGACCTGTATATTGCATGGGTCGGAAGGAGGGCTGAGACAATATCTACAGACCCCTCACATCCTGGCATAAACTGTTTCAACTCCTCCCCTCAGGTAACATTGAGAGTTTCTGAACCAGAGACAAATTCCTTGTGTGTCTAATCACACTTGGCCAAATAAAGTATTCTATTCTATTCAAATTTAGTTTTGGTAGTATACCACTCAAGAGTCACTTGCTTGTGAGATATGAAATTATATGCATTAGATAAATGAATGCTCTTTAGAAGGCCAGATCCTGAAGTTGAAACTCAAGTACTTTGGCCACCTAATGAGAAGGAAGGACTCACTGGAGAAGAGCCTAATGCTGGGAAAGATTGAGGGCAATAGAAGAAGGGGACGATAGAGAATGAGGTGGCTGGATGGAATCACTGAAGCAGTAGGCGTGAGCTTAAATGGACTCCAGAAGATGGTAGAGGACAGGAAGGCCTGGAGGAACGTTGTCATTGGGGCCGCGATAGGTTGGACACAACTTCGCAACTAACAACAACAAGAAGATAAATGAATAAAATAAATAAAAAAATAAAATGAGTATATGTGTAGTATCAAGATTGCAGCAGGCAGGAGAGGTAAATTTCTCACTTTCCATTCTAGCTGGATTTCTAAGAAAAATCTCTGAACTGACTGTTTTTTCCTCTATGAAAACCACAGCTTTGCTGGTGCAATTCTGGACTAAGTTCCAGTCTCATTAATTCAGAGTTGAGCTTTGGCAATGAAATCAGGTCTTGGGGGTTCAGTCTTCATAAACACAGCTTCAGTTTCAGTCCCAATTTAGGGCAATTTCCAATCTAAATACAGATCTATAGATAGACTAACCTATCTATAGGTTGTTCCATTGAATGCATGTTGAGACACTTCATTGGATTACAGCTGTCCCCAGCATGTATGCATGTGTGCCATCTGTTTGTCATATACTATATGTATGCATGTGTGTCATCTGTTCATCATCTTCATATCCCATTTACATGAATCATTCGTGATATCTTGATCCATTTTACCAAAATGCCTGTCACACAGTGTTCTTATTTACTCGTCTTTCAATCCAGCTATCTATTATAAGAATTTATGTCCTGTCCCTCAGTAAAATTCTAAAGCAGATGACACTATTTCAAAACGTACTAAAATATTCAACACTGTAAATTAGCAACGGCATAAAAACAAACTCATCCACGATAAAACACTCCAAATTAAAATAAAGTGTATCCCTGCACCAAATTAAATTCAGAAGAGCCAACAGGCAAGCCTCTCTAAGAAGTGGGTTTCACAAAGAGTGCTACCCCCTGCTGTTCGGTGAATAACTTTCATGTTTTGTGAGGCACATATTTTATTATCAAGTTATGGTTTGGGGTTTTCAGAGAAGAGTGTTCACTATATGTTATAGCTGCCTCATTACTTTTGTCATCTAACAGGCTGCTCCCACATTTTTTTTTTTTAAAAAGCCAGGGATCCTGTTATAAACCATCATGCGAACAAGCAACTTTCTGATGCATGTGGCCTATTGCCAGCAGCTTCATTCCCCTTTCAGATGACTACTAAATACAGGTCAGAAAGAGATAACTTTATGTGATATTTGAATGTAGTATTAAATGCAGCAAACCCCAAGAAATCATTACCTTTAACCCAACAATTTATCCTGGCTTGAAGTTAGTTTATTCCCAATGATTCAAATAGGGATGCCGTTGTTAAATAAAGTTAGCATTTCCAGATTCTACACATGTAGAAGGAAGAAACATACTTGCTGTACTGCAAACACAGGTTGCTGTCCATTCAGGATTCCTATCTTAAAGGGTGGTGAGAATACAGCTGTAATATTTAACCTTTTGTACTTACTCAGGCCTGTTGCATTCTCGAATGGCATTTTTAATACCCCCACCACATGTTCGTGAGCAAGCTCCGAAGGGGCTCCATGCGCCCCAAGCCCCGTCTATCATAGGTAGTTCTCGCTCTTTGGGAACACAGTGGCCATACTTGCAATGCTAAATTCCAGACAGGAAACCAGAGAGAGAGAAAGAGAGAGAAAAACTTTTAACAAGATTGTTTTATTGTACAATTAGGCTTCATTCCAGCATATTACAATATTTTCAATAGTAATTTTATTAAAAATCATAATTACAGCAGTAAAAGCTAATACCAAAACAAAAAAAAAGTAGAATAAAGGAAAGAGTAGAAGGTGCAAAAAAGAAACAAAAAAGGGAAAAATAAGGAAATAACAGAAAAGAAAGAAAAGTAAGGATGTAGGAAAGAAAAAGAAAAGAAAAATATAAAGTAGTGACTTCTCACCATCATAACAAGTACAAATATTTTTACTATCGGCAGTCCTCAACTTACAACTGTTTCAGGTTAGTAGTACATACTCTAAAAAGTTATTTACAAACCATCCTTGAAGTCATGTACCACTCCAGCAGTCACATGATTGCATTTTGGGTGCTCATATTTACAACTGGTTGCAGCATCCCATGTTCACGTGTTTACCATTTTCCGGCAAAAAACACCCATTGGAAAAGCTGAATTCAGACTAACAACCATGTGATTCGCTTAACAACCATAATGTAAACAGTTGTAAAATTGAGTGCAGCCACATGGTGACTTATGTCTGCAACAACTTACAACCAAAATTATGGGCTCAATTGTTGTAAGTCGAAGACTACCTATAGCTTATCACCTCCTCTTAAGATACAACAAATGCTCTCTTCTTCAGACACATTACAATGTTTTTGAAATAAAACTTTCTCTAATTTTGTAATGGTTGTGGAAAAGACCTTGAGAAACAGGAGGAAGAGTGGCAGCCTAAACAACCTGACAAATGAAATTTGAGTCTGAAGGAGGAGGGGTGGCAGAAGGGACCCTCCCTAGTTTTGGGGTGAATAAAAGAGAGGGCAAGAGGAGACATGCAAGTTTGTGTTAAATGTAACCTTGGAATAAAGATACAGCTGGATTTATTGTCATGTTTCTTGTCTGGACTACCTTGAGAGCTAACAGATTTTTATAGTTATACTTGTTAGAATTTTTCACTAAAGATAAGCCTTCCTTGCTCTCAAATGAATTGAGAGAGATAGCCTTATTCTGAATTACCCAGATTAATTTTCATTAGTATCCAAAATTATGTCAATCTATTATCCTGCTGTCCTACTACAACACATTTTTTAAATTCTTAATTCTTGTGGTTTTTAAATGTACTACAAAAAGGAATTTATAGATGCACATATGTAATACAATAAAATTTTAAAAAGCTAGAAAGGTTTTTTTTCATGCATTTCCTCAGAGACATCCAGGGTAGATAGACAATAAATATTATAGAAAATTGAAATTACTTGTAACAACTGAAGCTAGGAAAACACTCCATCACTCTGAAAATACTTGTGTTTCCTCAATGTAATTAATAATGCTAGAAAGTTCAGTGGTGCTGGCACTTTAGAATTTGTAACAGACAGACTTTTAATGATTTTCACTGCCATAATTTTCAACTGCAAAATTTATTAGCTGATGCTGCATTGAATGTACAGTAACTGAATATGAAAAGAATAAAAAGCTACGCATAAAATACCTCAAAGGTTTTGTTAAGATACAGTGATTCAGTAAATGTGTTTATGTTAAAATTCTCCCCTCCACCTGTGTATTTCATGGATAAGATACAGCTTTTATGATATTTCAAAGTTTCCTTCATACATAAATATATCTTGCCAAGATGTCAAAGAGGAAACAAAGTTTAAATTTACAAAAAAAACACAGAGAGAAAACTATTAGCCTAGATTTTAATAGATACACCATCTTTTCTGATGATCCAGTGTCATATGCTTAGGTGACACCAGGACAATTAAATTTAGATTGGCAGAAACAAAGAGTAGAACTTAAAAAAATTGTGATGGCACCACAAATGGGAAAAAGCAATTCAAATGTCAAAAATATGGCTTTACTTTTGTTGACAAATGAAGCAGGGTAAATCTATCAATAATTCACTAATTATTATTGTTGTTGTTACATTATTCTAAAACAACATTTGTAATCTCTTCAGTTAAAAAACAGAAATATATTTTAAAATAATGGAAAGCACAAGATTTTGGTATTTGTATGAACAGGACATCCTGACTGAAATGTATTGGATGTATTCAGCGCATGGGATGGGCAAAGGGGTTATATGTGTCAGGCACCAAGGGTGATACAACACGCAATGTAGCAATTACTGTTTCTACCTCTGTATTCTGAGCAGAAGCACATATGATATATTAGAGAGACTAATGCATTTACCCAAAGTCTCCATACTAGGCATAGCACCAATTCAAGTCAAAGTAAGAAGTCTCCTAAGTGAGATATTCAGGATGTTATAAAAGTAGCAAGGAATTGTCCATGGAGAACCTCAAATTACATATAATAGGGACGGATGATTTTGGCACTCTTGTTTTCTGCATCTAAATCCCAAATCCTCTGAGTTCAATTAGGCATTGTGTGGGCCAAGAGATCATATTGCCTGGAGTAAGATGCCACAATATGTGAGATCAGAATCCATTTGCTTCTTTAGCGAGGAGGAAAACCTTTTCAGTAGAATGAGATGAACCAGAGATTCACCCCAAAGGATTTCTTTTCAGCCAAAAATCTGAGATAGCAAAACACAGAACTGTGCACCATATAATAGAAAGCCCAAGATGTTTGCTGTATGCAGTTTTATTGTCGCAGGGACATCACTTATATTTTATGATCACCTTAGAAACGTTTTGAGCTTTAATTATATAAATTGAATTGAATTTGAATTGAATTGAATACTTTATTTGGAAAAATGTGATTAAGCATACAAGGAATTTGTCTCTGCTTCAGAAGCCCTCAGTGTACATGAGAAGCAACAGAACACCAACAATAATGCCAATAAAATTAAAATAAATTAGCATTGAATTGGGATTTCTGGACATAAGAATAAATCACATTTTTTAAAACTTGCCTCTACCAAAAATATACTCTAACAACACGTTATTAATATTCCTTGAATATAGAGGTATCCTCAGCTTATAACCATAATTGAGCCCAAAATTTCTTTTACTAAGTGAGACATTTGTTAACTGAATTTTGCCCCATTTTATGACTTTTCCTGCCACAATTTTTTAGTCGTTAAGTTAGTAACATGGTTGTTAAGTGAATCTGGATTTCCCATTGATTTTGCTTGTCAGAAGGTTGCAAAAGGTGATCACATGACCCTGGGACACTTCAACTGTTATAAAGATGAGTCAGTTGCCAAGCATCTGAATTTTGATCACATGACCATAGGGATTGCTGTAATGGTCATAAGTATGAAAAAGGCTCAGTGTCATTGTAACTTTTAACGGTCACTAAATGAACTGTTGTAAGTCAAGGACTACCTGTATGATTAAGACAAAATGTTTAACACTGCTTCCCTTGAAAAAATTATGTGACCCTTCCTCAAAAGAAACAGTAATATACCTTTTTAAAAAAATGGAATCTATTTCATTGGCAGCTTCTAGCCATATTGTCCTTCTAGTTTGAACTGGTATTCTCATGAGTGAATTTTACTAAAGTCAAGTTGGCCAAAATGAAACTTCTATTATTTCTATAGTAGATGTGGAAACACGAGTATATGTTCTACATGCACATACATACTGCATTTTAAATCCAGGCACATTTTATATGTATACTTCTAAACATTTTACTTAAAGCAGGTGGTAGTTTTCATGATAATCAGGCCATCTGATGTTGTAACAAGAGAAATAGTTAATCATACCATTATTAGGATTGTGGGGATGTGGATCTAATTTGATGAATGGCAAACTATTTTTTCCCCCTTGTTATACACATGTTTAATATAAATGCTAAGGTAAGTCAAATCCTTTTTCCAGTAACAGAATTTAAACAGACAATGGTTTTCTGAGTTCAGATATCAAGTAACTGCAATTTGGTTACAAAATAGAACCAGAAGCTTTTATCTTTCCCTAGTTTTATATATATATATATAAAATAAGGATAAGTGTATAATTCAGATGACCGGGCAAGATAAACCTAACAATTTCACAGTTTGCATTGCAATAATAATGAAAAATACTTTTGGAATATGAACAGCTCTTGTTCTTTTTATCAATGACTTGCAGTGTATTTGCTAAGACTGCTATTCTCTTGGCTATGGCCATTTACTGATCCAGAAAAAAAACCCTCAAGATGTGATAGCTTCTAAGGAAAGCAATCCTTTTTGCTTTTCAGTTACAGGTCAGATATTACAATGTCTCAACAGAAAATATTTTATCTACAGAATGATTTTTTTATGCATAAACTATCATATTAAACAGCACAGTAGCAAGGAATTTAAATAGTGGGGTAGGCTGATCTGGGATGCAGCAGTAAGCCCAACATTTTCTAGTTAGGTTGGCTTCACATCTCTGATCTGGACAGTTTAGAATCAGTCTGCCTTCTAAAAGGCTACAAATAGTTGCACACCACTTATGGGCAATCAGTAGACTGCAAATGGAAGACACAGTCTGAAAATGAAAGAAAATCGAAGCACTAACCTTCTGCGCTGGCATGTTAGTACCACAGTTGACATCAATAAAACACAGACAAGGTGTTAATTGACATAGCACTATCCCTTAAGAATATTTTGCAGCTCCATATGAAATAAAATTGTTGAAAAGCAAGTGTGCCCACTGCAGAATGGATTGATACCAGGCATTCTAAACCATCAGAAGTTAACAGTGGA